TTCCACTAAAAACACCATTACACTTGCTATTCGCTACTAGATATTTCTGAACGTTGACAAAAAAAATTAGGTTTACCCTCTGATCCCCCCCCCGATAATGCGAAAGCACCGTTATATTACTTTTAGGTCCGGCTAAATCAAGTCAATTAGCCCCCCCCCCCCCCCGGTAAGGAACCGGCACCGTACATTGATCCAATTGGGGTTCGTTCCAAACTTTTTTCCAGATGTCCAAGTTTTTAATTCGTAAATAGAGGAAATGTTTCCAAACTGATTTTTTGACGGTCTCTAAGCATAAAAACTTTACGAATTTTGATTACAAAAACAAAAATATCGATTTTCCGGCCAAAAATGGCCGATTTTGGATGAAACTGTCGACTCTTTGAAAATTGTATAAATTGTTTGGATAGTTTTTCTAGTCTAAATAGTTTTATTTTATTAAAGACATTATTAAGATACTTTCTATAAAGCGACGAGGCATACCCCCCCAGTAATGCAAAAGAACCTTCGTTGTGCCCAATGTCCCAATCTCATTCCTTGGGCCCAAAAATGGCGATTGGGGGTGATGTTTGACCGGTGTTTCTGGTGGTAGTCGCCCCCTTGGGGTGGTGGGGGTGCTAAGCTGCTTGTTCGGGTGTGTTGGGGGCCCAACTTCTGGCTCTTCCCATTTATCGACAACCATTTCTGACGTCGCGAACGATCTATCTATCCACTGTTTTGCCGCATCGTTTTGTTGTGAGTAGTGGCGGTTTACAGCCCTTGCTGCCGGCGTGGCGCATCAACAACTCGTTGTTGTGACTTTTGGTCTTTATTCAAATTGGCGGTGCTTTTGTGCTATTTTTATTCAGGCTCTTTTATTAGTTCTGCCCTAAGAACACTATAAAACAGTTCTGGAAGCTCGTTGGAGAACTCCTTGAAGACGTCGCTTCACGAGAAAATAAGAAAAACTATTTTTTGCAATATCTACCATATTGAATTCTTAATTTCCGCTGTATCTGTATTCATTCGGGCGTCTTTAAGAACCCGATAAAACAATTCTGGCAGCTGGCCGGAAAACTCCTTGAAGACGTCGCTTTTCAAAGAGAAAAGGGAAGCTATTCGTATATTTTTTTATATCCGCTATTCGTTCTATTCTGGGCTTGCCAGAAACTTGAAGACGTCGGGTGGCCACGAAGAAGCAGAATTATTTCCTTGCTCTACCGTATTACGTTATTTTTTCATTCCGGCCATTCTTTTGACGTTAAGCGGCCGAAAAACGGTCCTAAAAGCCGGAAAAAACTCCTTGAAGACGTCGCTTTACCAGAAAAATAAGAAAACTTATTTCTTGGCTCCTACCTAAATTTTCTATTTTACAAACTTTTGAAAGAACTATTACAAAGAATCGAGCCGTTTCCAGCCAGACAAAAGCCGAACGGCTCGAAAAAGGCGCCCACCTCCAGGCGTGACCCTCAGAATTCGGGCACCCATTGTTTAACCCGTGAACAAGCCGCCCCCGGTCTTTCTGTACCCATTCCATTTGAGCATTGTCAAGGAGGGGCCCCTGAAAAGGGGTCCGGTTACGGTAAACCGTGCACACTTTAGGGAACAGCCCCCTGCCCGGGAGCCATATTCTATCAGTCGAACCCCTCCGGAGTAACAGGAACACAACCGGTCCACCAGCCCGGATCGACTTTCCCCTGATTACGCCCGGTCAACTTGTTGCCTGGATTGGATCGGACTGAAAAATCTGGCTATTTTCTTCAATTCCCCATCGGGCTTAAATTAAATTATATTTTATTATGGTAAAATACTACGGTTACTGGGCCCCCAGCCCCGACCCAATCTACAAATTCCACGACCCGTTTGATGACAGCTATGAGAGTGCGGATGATGACTATTGGAATTGGTTCATCCCCGTTCGCCCGGCCCCCAATCGCAAGAAGGTACGACCGGTGCTGGTTCCTTAGCGGGGGGCTAATTCACTTTCTCTAGCGGACCTCCAAAGGGCCTCCAAAGTACGAAAACGGTGCTTGTCCGTTATCGGGGGGGGGTGGGTTATCTGGCGGCAAACGAATTTTTGTGAAAAACTCGATTAATACCTGGTAACGTAATTTTTTCCTACAAATCCGGAAATGCCTAAAAACTTAATAGAAACTATTTTAATAGCGTTTTAGTAAAATTACCTATATTTAAAGTAGAAAACCTGTCTAAAAAACTTTTGAATTGATTAAAAAGACGACATTTTTGGCCCAAAAATCGGGTTTTTTTATACAATTTAAGTTTTGCAGGGAATCGTCAAGAAAACATAAAAAGAGAAGAAACAGTCTACTTATTCGTCCTCAATTTGTAGGAGAAAAATTGGATATGGAGGGAAAAAGTTGGTTTATCCCTGATAACCCCATCCCCCCCATAATGCGAAAGAACTTAGGAAAGCCTATGCCATAATTATGGGCTTTTTATTACTTTCTGGTTACTACAACTTTAAAAACCATCGAAGAAAATTTTTTCGAGAGCTTTACCAAAATTGAAAAATTTAGAAGTTTTGATGTTTTTTTCTATCTAAAAAGGTCCTAAAATACTATTAAAATGACTTTTATGATAGGGCGTCTACGGGAACCGGGAAAGTTAGGCGGCCTCCTTTACCCCCCCCCGCTAATGAACCAGACCCCAAGGTACAGCGGTGGCTCAAAGTTTTTGTTGATTTTGGCACGACGTTTTATTGGGAGTCCCCCGCCAAATGAAATGGAATGACCGGAGCGTCGTCAGGATCGATCCGTAGTCCGAACGGGGGGGAGGGAGGGACTCTATTTGTTGACTCTAGAGGGATCATGGTCGGCTGGTTCGCGCCGGATCGCCGCCGGGCCTTTCGGATGTCTAGGCAGATTTTTAGTTTTTTAGAATTTTTTGCTTTTTTGATTTGTATAATATGTTTCATCCTATCCCTTTAACTGGCTGTAGCTTTATCGGTACTTGTCTGTTAGCGGGGGGGGGGAAAGATTAACGGATCTTGCTAACGCCTCCGGACAATAAATTTTAGATTTTTTAGTTTTTTCTAGTCTCTTTCTTATTATGTAGCGTGTTGAAAAAGTCATCAAAACATTTTTTGACATTTTTTAAATTTCATCCATTTTTTAAAAATATTTTTGTTTTTACCATTTTCACCACAAAAATCTGCATTTTTCCAAAATTTTTGTAATTGTTTGTGAGCTTGCTATAGTGAAAAACGCTATCTCTTCCCCGTCAACAGCTCAGTACCGTAAGCGGAACCCCGGACTTCCCAGTCCCTTTAAAAACGTCAAGTTGGTCAGGACACTTGGGTTCCTCCGCATTATCGGGGGGGGGGTGAATTTTTTCTTATAAACCCAGACATGGCTAGTAACTTAATAGCAAATGTCTTTAGTGTTTTTAGTAAACTTCAACTATATTTAAGGACAAAAACAATAAAAAAATTAGAACATGTTTTGGTAGCAATTTAAAAATCTATATTTTTGTAGTTTCTGATAGAATCTTGTATTATTTTATGCTTAGAAAAGGTAAATTCGATTTAGAAAGACAGCCTCGATTTATATTGGGAAAATTGGATCCTAAGCAAAAGTTTGTGTCCCCCCGATAATGCAAAAGAACCGGAGTATCCGCAGGAATTGAACTGCTCGAGATTACCTGTTGAAAATTTTTGTCTTTGCACGATTTCCTTTAAATTTGATTTTTGGTGCTTTTCCATTATCAGGGGGAATTTTTTCAAATAATTTTCAACCCGCGCGCTTGACCGTAGCTGTTGATTTGGTGTGTGTGTATGTGGGGGTGAGAAGAAGCGGATGGAATAGAGTGAGGGAGGGGAGATGCCCGAGGGGCAATTCTTCGAGAGCCACAAACAGTCCGTCCGAGGTTGAGAGCACGCACACCATGCTCCTCCTCTTCTTTCTCCCTCTGAGAATGAGCGGAAGAGGGCCCCGGTTTGTGTGTCTTTGGCCCTTCTCCCCCACTATTCCTTTTCCCTCTAAAGAAAAGCGACTCTCCTTTTTCGGGCCTTTTTGCAGAAACGGTTGCTCGCAACACGAGTCTCTAGTTTTCGGCGGCTTCTTATAGAATTCGGTCAGACTTCGGCTTCCATTTCCGGACCAACTTTTTTTCCTCAGGCTCCAATTTTTTCTAATATAAATACAACAATGTTTTTAAACCCTTTTGGGCATTCCTACATGTGAAAACTTTTGCATTTATTTTGCTTTTATGAACTTTTTATAAAACTGTTTTACAAAATTTAAAGTGTCAAGTTCAAAAGAAAATGTAGCGGTTTGTTCGATATTTCTTACGGCAAGATTCCCCTGAATGTGCCAGATTTTTCCCCTACGAGATCGATCCATTCGAGAGTGTTACGTAATAGCCAACCATTAGGAATCGAAAAGAGCTGGAGCTTGCGCTTGAGCTCGAGCTTGTGATTGTGCTCTAAAAGCGCTCCTTTTCAGGGTCCTCACACTTCACACGGCGCCGCCCCGTCCCACCATCATCACCATCATCAGCCGCCGCCCGGCGGCTCCTACTTTATGGGGTCAGTGCCGCGTTTAAAAAGTTGCGCAAATTTACTTACTATTTCGAGCATGTTTTCGGGGTTTATCGAAACTAATTTCCACTTTTTCGGGTTCCGATTTCATTAAAAATCTGTGACTCTTCGTTTGCTAGCTTTAATAAATCCCCCGTTTACAGACCGTTGTCTACCCAATTTACTCGACTAAATGAAAAGAGATTTTTACTAAATTAATTTAATTTCTAAAGCATGTTTTCGGGAATTATGAAATTAATTTTTAATTTTTCGGGTCCAGTTTTCAGTAATAATCAACGGTTTTTGGCATTTGTCTACAGGTTTCCAATTTAACCGGATTTTAACGAGATTCTATCCATTTAACTTTATTTTACGACTTTCACATTTTTAAACGAAACCTGAATTCGGTCGCAACGTTGGGGGCATTGCAGCTACGCGCACGAGCCGTACGGGCAGCACGCGTACGTCGAGCAGTTGTCACTATCGGATGGGGATCGTCAGCAACAACAACAACAGCCCTACTACCATCCCATTCACCATCAAATACATCACAGCATCCAACAATATTATCCCGGGTACACTCTTTACTATGTACTAAATTTCGGTGTTTTTGAACGTAAAATACACTTTAAATCGCATGAGGGAGCACTTGAGCAGCATTTTCTAACTTTTCCAAGACGAATCCGGGTAGTTTTGGATTTTAAAATTAGGCTGTATCGGTTTTGTTGATTAAAATGCCGATTTCATTCCGTTGAGGTTTTTTTGGAGGCCTACAAAAATCATTCCGACCCAATACACCGACTGTTAGAGGTCGATTTCTAAGACCCCAGTTGGGAGCTGATTTTCGCTGGCTTTATTAAACGCAATTAATTGTTGTTTAGATACAACTATACGCCATACGCGGGAGGCGCCTATGGCCCGTATCCAAGCCAGTCGACCGGCTATCGACCGTACCCCCAGCCGCAGCCTTCGCCTCCACATCGAAGATCCAGGTACGCTTTTTAGAACCTATGATCTATCATTTAACGCGCTTCGTTGAATACTTTATCCAATTTTTGAAACTTTCAAGGCCCTGATCAGCCTACTGGCTTCACGAAATCAAGATCAAACATTCTCAAATTGAGCGCGACCGCGATCTTTATATTGCCGTGAGGTCGCTGCTGGTTTTCCTAAACTTTAACCTTTTATAATAAGCTTAAAAATTACTATAATTTTTACTTTGATCCTCTAAACTATCATGATATCAGTTAAATCCTTCTATCTTTAGAACGGCTCCGGCGCGGACGTTAAATCGGCCGACCGTACCCCCTCCACCAATCCCATCATACCCCACCGCACAGCGGACCGTCAAGTCTCGGGGCTACAGGTGCGAGTTTATTTTGTCGGGTAAATTTATCTCGATTTTCAGCGCTGACCCGTTGGACCGGGGGCGATATGCGTATTCCGGACCCTTCAAACGGCCACAGCCCCTATATCGGAAGCGCCGGGATGGGAGAATGGGATATTTTCAGGTAGGTGCTAAAATGGGAAGGTTTTCTAGTCATTTAATTGTCTATTGACAATTTTTCTATGTATTTACACGTATTTTTTCATTACATCTCTTAGGAAACCGATTTTGGCGGCGCGCCTGTTGATTATGGCATGGGATTCCACCGGCCAGTATATCCGGTAGGCTCATTTCTATAGAAATCCGAATTTTTGTGCGTTAACTTCCAACTAAAACCTATAGACGCTTATTTTAGCCCTACATGGATCAGGGAGCGCCGACAATGCGCCGGATACGACCCTACTATGCCCCATCATATACCACGTATCCGCCGTCGACAATGCATAGGTATCTTGGCTATTTAAAAGCTCCTAACGTCCTTCCAACTAAATTCCAGACCAAAACGAAAACACCATCCCGACAAGTATCCCATCATTTTCCGGGCCGTTTTGAAAGTGGCCCAATTGGTGCGTTTATCGGCTTGCAGCTTGAACTAAGAAGTTCTATTTGCTGATCATTATGCATATAATTAAATCAAAACACCGATTAAGATTAACAAATGAATTTTAGATAATCGGTGCCGCTGTCCTTGGGCTGGTTCTCTCGCCGATGCGCGGCTCGAGCTTTCATGACTTTGTGGTACGGACGAAGACCGAGTGGCAGGTGGGTCGAGACCAAAAGCTTGAGGAAGAAAACTATATTTTTATTCTATGAAACATAAAATACCGTCACCTATCGCATAACTGTTCTAGGGAGCCGTTGTCGGCATCACTGCCTCGTTCTCAATCCTCACCATCGCGTTCCTCGTCACCAGCTTCTGCCTGGCACACAAAGCAGCCGCGTGGCGACGTTTCGTAAGTTTTCTCCAGGGCACCTAACTCCAACCTTTTCAGGATGCGCTAGCCTCGATAGCAGCCGCATTCGGCTACTTAGTCGCCGGATTTATCGAGGCCTATTTTGCGGCCTGTTATCCGCCAAACGGGGCGAAAATCGGCTACGTATGCCATCGACCAGAATGGATCATAGCTACGGTAAACATCAGCTTTTAAAAAATTTACGCATTCTAAAAAACTTTCAGATCTTACTCTTCATCAACGTCGTCGCGTACGTGATCGACTTTTGGTTGGCGTGGGCCGCCGGCGTCACCTTGTTATAGTGGAATAGCAAAAATATTCTCGTCAGTCTCTCTGTTGCGACCTCACTGCCTCGATTCTGTTTTTCTTTTAAAGGGACGGGACACCTCTAATCTAAAATTTTGACCGCGGTTTAAAAAGACGAGAGGTGTCCCCTTATCTTAATTTATATCACTACCCGTTTCCTCAACTTGGTGCCTCGATCCATGCCAGTTTTTCACTCCATCCCTAATGCTCAATATCACAATTTGTTTTTCTAAAAACCCAGATTTTTACGATTCTCATGTTCTCTCAAGTTTATCTCTGCAAAGCTTTACCCTATACCGAACCACTGCCCTATTTTTAATTAAGCTACCCCATCCCCCAACGTGGTGCTAATCAACCCCTTCCCCTTTCAACACCAAAGAGCTCAATCCCGTATGTGATCACTTGACCGTGCAATACTTCGCAGATAAATACTTCTATTGTGCACGATTCATTTGCCTGCTGACCGGCTTGCACACGAGACCAATGAGAAATGGCGAAAAAATATGATACATACGCCGCAAATTCCGAAGATGTAAAACCGTTGAGAAGTGACGACGGCCAGGGGGATGTCGATCGCTTATTGGTAGTACAGCTCAAAGTTGAAGCCCTCGTGGATTTCGTAATCTTGGAGCGTGATGTGGTCCTTGTAGATCGTGTACCACTTCTTCAGGACGATCTTGTCCCATCTGAAAACGACAATATAAAAAAGCATAACGGCACGAATGCGCAAATTCAGGCCAGAAAAAGTCGTGAAACAAGATATAACGATATCCTACCTTATATAATTTGGTCGTGTATCTTTGTCTGTGTGTGTGTGCGGATGTCACTTTCGAGGCTCGATTTGAGGGCCTTCCGGTGTATAAAAGGCTCTAATTTTCCGTCACTCGGGGTAATCGACCCTCCTGTTTCGGATGGCGTTCTCAGAATTACAATAAAATACAAGTTTACAAAGTTAAAGCCGGCTTTATTCATTTTTGGGGGTACCTGAGGGCTAATTTGCATAATGCGAAAAAATACAAATTTCCTCATTCTTGCGAATTGCACGCGCGCGTGTGGTCGGGTAGGGGGGGTCCGAAGAACCCGAGTTATCGGAAAGGCGAATTTCTGATGCAAAGACCGCATTCCAGCGCCCAAGGCCCGCGAAGCGGGTTTTGGGCGCTGGTAGACATAATTATTTAAACGCCATTTCTCCTATTACCCAAAATTTTTGGCCAGCTTAACTAAAGGTTATCATTATAACTTATTATGTCAATTTAAACCTTAGAAAACCAAGAAAAAAATTAGCTGACCAACCTTGTACCCGTTTGCAACGCAATCAACTTCTTCAAATCCCCAATTGTATCGTTCGGATTGCACTTGATGCGGACCTAAACAAAATAACAATAACAATAAGCCAATTGTAATATATTTCATACCTTCTTTCCCAATCGATCGTTGACTGTGATTTCAATCATTTTATGCTGGAATATCTGGAAGAAAAGAAAATTGTAGCTGGGTAAGTTAAGGAAAGAACGAATTTCCGAAAAACCCTGTCATTTCTACAGGCTACAACAGGGTTATATGCACACTCAAAAGGCGTCACTCGCGCAGAAAACACCACCTCCGTATCAATGCTTGGATCTTCCGTGTATCAATCGCAGAATCGGCTTCAAGAAATCTTTATTTACTACGTACAGGATACAAAAAAAATGGGTCACGACAAGCGCTTCCCTACACAACCTATGAATACTAGACAGGGTTGATAGAATATCACATAGCTTATGGTATTTACCGACAACATTCGGAGGCTCGACTGGAATGTAGTGCATAAAAAACGGAGTGTTCTTTGACAAAATTCGAGGCGTATTACGAAGCAGAAACGGGAAACCGCGCGACACCGAGTGATCGACCAAAGGCAAGCGGGCAGGAGTTTTACAATTTTTTTGATGAAAAGAAGTCCGGCGGTGTCATAGTCAATGGGTTGAGCCGAAGTGAGGACGAGGAGGAATATGGGCTATGGGAGAAAGGGGATGATCCATTGGTAACTGTTCGATAGGCTGCTAGTCGTGATGAACCTGGAAATGCACAATAATTGCGGTGGATGGCGCAAGACTACGAAAATGAGCCAGCGCAATGATCTTTCAGCAAAATTAATTTGAAGCAAAGCTTTCAAGAAAAATGGCACTTTCAAACTCGAACTTTCAAGAACATCGTCTTGGTATTAGCGTTTACACTTTGCGCGGGGGCCAGACAGACCTAAAATTGCGCACCAAATTTTTTAGGCTGGTTTTCCAAACCAAGGAACGCAAAAAATTCTCGGGCAAAACAATAAACTGACCGCTTATGAGAATTCGCCGGTAAGTTTCTTCTGGAGACGAAGATTGTGATGGAGCTCGGGCTTGATGTCGCACACCAACTGCAGAAGTCGAACGATGACCTGTTGCTTGTTCTGCTGCACGGTGCGCTTCATGTTGTCGATTTCGGCCTAGACGGAAGTTGCACCCATCAACCTCGCAAGCATACCTCAGTATCCTTGCGAATTTGGGCCTCAATGTCTTCCTTGGTGCCGAGGTACTTCTGCTCAAATCCCTTGAATTCGGTCTCGCGTTCCTGGAATCAAATAACGTAAAATGATGCGAAGGAAATGCACCGAGACCGCCACCAATGGTATCAACAAATCCTTACCTGGCGATACTTCTCGACCTCCTGTTGGGCCTCCTGTTTGGCCTGCTTCAGACGCTGCGTCTTGCGCTTACGGGCCTGAAAAAAAGAATAGTTGAAAACTCTCAAAGTAATTTACCTCGTTGATTTTTTCGGCGGCGCGCTTCTCGGCGGCGAGCAGCTGTTGGATACCTTGAGTCTGAGCGGCCATTCCTGAAAAACAGCATTTCTAGAGCGTTCAACAGGATGGATCGCGAAGTGCCGAGAGGTGCATTCGTCTGAAGATAGCTGGTTATGGAAAGCAAACACATAATAAAGCAAGTAACAATGCCCGTACGGTCGAGGAGCGTTCTACTAACGAATTTTCGGAATTTTGATGAAAGAGCACGGTCGAAGGCAATAGAGCAACAATACTAGTGGGTGCTATTCAGGCAAAAGATCAATCCGTGGTCGGCAGAGCGCGCTATAGCAGCGAGGGCAGACAGGCGAAGCAGACACCCAGAGGGGCCTGCCGGCATTTCAAAATCGGCAATAATTCCGTTGCGCATGGAAACTATCTGACGATGTTTATCGATCGTATTTGGAGGTTCATCAACTTTATGAAATATTTATCAACAAAAATGGAACATGAAATTGGACATTTATAAGGATTAAGTATTCCAGGCATGCCCAGGCGCGCCGTAGGGTTGAGATTGCTTGGGCTTGCCGAGTCCACTCATGTAGGCATTTCCGCCATGTTGTTGGAAGTGTGGAGGAGGCGTATGCTGAGCGCCACCCTTTCCTGCGTTGCCTCGGTCGTATGTTCCGGCCTTGCGATCCTCGTCCCCGGAAGCATTGTACATTGGTCGTGCATTCACCGGCGGCACCATGTACTGGTAGGGAGCACTTTGGTACTAAAAACAGGATATGGAAGACCACGAAAGAACTTACCGTCGGTAGGAACATGTTCTGCGGCTGATGAGGCGGCATATATCCATTATTCGTGAAGCCAGGAGGCGGCCCGACCGGATTTTCCCGCGCTGTGTTCATTCCCGTGTATCTAAAAGAAAAGTAAAAGCGGATGGCTGTAAAGTGTACTTGTTGAGATCCATCATTTGGTGATTATCGTTGCGGTGTTGAGCTTGGTGGGTCGGCTGCGCCTGGCCGCCGGATAGCGAACTCTGCGTAGGCAGGAGGTTCGTGAGATCAATTTGTCCAACACCGAAGGGGAATTGCATCAGAGTCGCGGCTGCGAAACCGGCGTCATCAGATCGCATCTAAAAGGCAAGCTTATGAAGATCGTCAACAAACTCACGGGGCTGTACATGCCGAGGTATGGTTGATAGTTGCTATAAACATTCGGCGGCGCGTAGGGCATTTGCTGGGCCTGCTGTGGCGGTAGAGCATTCGGGACGTTGACCGAATGCTGGGTCGTCTGCGTCATCGTCTGCTTCTGATGCTGGTTGATGTGCTGCGTTTCAGGCGGCGCATAGTTGACGCTCCGCGATTCCAACGAGAAACCAGAATTCTGTCGTATCGGTTGACCAAAGTTTGATGAGGGTACGGCTCCCGTAGGCGACTGCTGCTTCAAGACGTATTCTGGCTGTTGGATTTGCTAAAACGGCAATTTCTAGTCAAAATGCAAGGAATTACCTCAGCTTTGACGGGAGTTGGGGGAGCGGGTTGACTAGAAGACGGGGCAATTGGAGATCGAGTAAAGAGAGGAGCTTCAGCAGGAATATTATTTGCTTGGACTTGGCTGATGGAATGTGCAGGTGGCAGTTCAACGGGATCTGCGCTGAATCCGAATTGGTACTCGGACAACGTTGATCCGTAGCTAGGAGCCGCATCCGACACAAATTCAACTGCCTGAAAAGAGCGTGAAAAAGACGAAAGCTAAATTACCTTTGCGCTGGGGCCCGTAGGGAAGGAAGGTTCCGGTAGAGTCACGCCGATTCCAAGCTCAGACTTTAGTTTGTTCGTCCATTCTGCCGCAGAATTCTGTGGGACCGAAATAGGTTCCTGTTGCACTTGTACTTCAATATCCTCCTCCACTTCCGGTTCAGCAGACTCATCGGCGGCATGTACTGAAGGGCTGGCCACTGATCTGGAAAGGACCTTTAGCATAATCCAAAATAGTGAAAACACGACTATCTAAAAGGTAAACTTACTCGGTAACCGGCGGTGTGTCTTCAACACTGGGCGATGGCTTGGTTTCGACGACGCGCTGCTGTTGATGAAGCTTCTGCTGCTGCTCAATACGCTGCTTCTCCTTGTTGAGGCTGGCCGCCGCCGCAGCGGCAAATGAGATCGGGCCCGCAGCATTGGTAGCGCCGTTGACAACTGGAGTCGTGGCAGCCGGCTGTGTTTCCGCAGAAGCAGATTCGTCAGTGCGCTTGAAGACGAGCGGTCCATTCTGCTGAAAAAAAAACTATAATCGGCCGTATACACATAATCTTCGAATAATAATGAACGTCTCGTCAGCCCAGCTGTAGAATTGAGCAAAAAAATTACCCAATCGAAATTTTCGTCTTGCTCCTGGTTGTTGGAAGCTTTGCTGTACTCCGGTCTGCCATTGGTCTGCTGACGTCCACCTCGACCACGACCATTCTGGGCTGCTCCCCGAGAAGGTCCACGCGACTGGGTGGTACCTCCGTTGGTGGTAGTTCCTTGGATCGGTCGCGGACCACGGTCTCCACGGTTGGCAGCTGGACGCTCGACCCATTCCTTGCGGCCCCTTGAGGACGTCTGACTGCCACGAGGAGCGTACTTCGGAGGCTCTAAAAAGATATTTAGAAAGTAAAATATAAGGCACGTTTATCACTCGTTTATTCTAAAGTCAGTGCGGCCAGCTCCTCACCTTCCTTCTTCTTGTCCTTCTTGTTCTTCTGCTCGGTCCAATCAAGGTCTGGATTGTCGAGGATCTGCAGCACAGCCAAGTCAACATTGTTATCGTTGTCGAAAAGTGCGATTTCTGCCTGGGCCTTTGTGCAAAGAGTGGTCTCGGTGACCTGAATCAGTTTTTAGAATAGCAACACCAAAAATACCTTTTTGATGAGACGCTTCATTTGTTCTTGGTCTTCATCAAGAGGCTCCGCTGTGACCTTTGCAAGCCGGATCTGGTCGCCCGTAGGCACGATGCGCTGCTTCGTACCAGCTTCTTTCACACCCATTCTGAAAAGAGGCTGTCAATAACAGGTTTGGAATCGGCTCTCGCGGATAAGGGAAAAGAGAGTAAGATGCTAAAAATTTATTTGAAAGATGAGTCCTAATGTTAGAAAGCAAATTGCTCGTGATTTCAACTAAGTTTGAATTCTACGTTTCGGTCAAGAGGCAGCCGGGTAATTTGAGTAGCAGCTAAACGGGACCGCACAGACAGCTGATTTCCGTCCCCCGATAACCCAATCTAATCAAAAGTTGATGGCGGTAAAGATGAAAGGCCTTGTCGGATCTCGATTGTGAGTCATTACGGTGGGTTTCAAAAGGCGGGCCGAATTCACGGGAAAACAAGGTATCGATCGATTGGGTCTCGGCGCGCTGCCATGGCATCTAGTAGAAAGGGCCAGACCCCTGGCGGGCAGGCACGCAGAGGGGCAGCTGGGGCCCAGGCAACAGAGTCCACACGCCATGCAAACCCCCAAAAATTCAACTTTCACGACATTTTGGCAAAAGAATTGCTTTTTGCTGTGAAATCGCGGATATCAAGTTTTTTGTCGGTGCGCCCGATCAGGCCGCCGCGCTGCGGGACCTACGTCATTTGGATGCGTACGGAACGGACTTTCGAACTTTCGGATTTTTGAGCAGAGCCAACCCCCGTACTGAACAGAAACCGCCGCGCAGCGGTGGGGAGCGTTGGTTGCTTACTAAAATGTGTAGAAAATAGCTTTTTTGGAGTAGTAATTTTGCTATAGATACTTGTAAAATTTGTGCTAGATGTAATTTTATTGAATTTAAAAAGCGCGGAAAACGTGGTTTTTGAGTGGCGAAATTGTGTGCGAGCCGATTCTGTGCTGCAGGATGACCTTTTGGCAGATGTTCCCCGCGCCCCTCGCGATAATTCTCGACCCTAGCAAATGCGCGGTCGCTGCTGCATTCCTTTACCCGCGGTTATTTTCAGAAAACAAAACATAGCTCGTCATGTCACAGTCGCAAAAAAATATTGGCCGTCAAAAACAGGGAGATTTTATAGTAATCTGGCGTTTCTTTGTAGAGAAACGCGTTTCTGTGCCTTTATTTTATTCCACGAACCTGTTTACTTCTCTTTTTACAGTGTACTTGAATGGGTGAACCGGACCAAGTAGCAACTTTTCGAACCGTTCAGCAAGCGCCGACTGATTCGACTTCCGAACCATCACTGCCCTGCCACTTGCCAGCTGACGTCTCGGACGCTCAAGAAGTCCAGAAGCCAGCTTTTCACAAGGTCTGTGTCATCGATGAAAGTTATATATTCTTCTTTGAAGTTTCCTTCTCTGGATATGAACAATGGAATGGGTGGTGGCCCACCTCCGATGCGCACTGGCCCACCACAGCAATCAGTCAACAATCAACAGCCAGGTGAGTGTCCTCTACTTCAATGACAATTCTTCTTTTTAGGGGCAAATGACCCGATCGTCAAGGTCATCCGTTTCTTCCAGACGATTTTGCGCAAAGAGGGTGGAGATCAATTGAAAAGCGAGCTCGTTCGATTGGTGCAGGTTTGAAACCGCATCAGCAACATGTGACAACCCTTTTTCAGGAGGTGATTACGGAAAGAATGGAGCCGACCGCTTTTACGGAGCAGCTGCAGGCGGCGCTGGGGACGAAGGCGCAACCGCACCTTGTGTCATTTCTTGGCACCGTTCTTCCGACTCTCCGCGAGGCCATCAAAAACGGGGACGTGAAGGTGGGTAAGCTCAATGTAATTGCAGCGTTTTTCTTGGTGCTGTGTAAGGTTTGCGTTTAGGTTAGCGTGTCGCAAGATGGGCTCAGCATGCTTTTCGATGCGCCTCGGATACCGCCATCTTTACTGCAGACTGCTGTGCAACGCCAGCCACCACCTATGCAGCAAACTGGTAAGAGAATTTCGCTTTTCGGGGCTTATCTGTTTTTTACCGGTTACTGCTATTTTATGTACCTTCGCTATAAAAACCCGGTTACTATTGAAGTTGGGGGGGGGCAAAATTTTTTTTTGTGGCCAATCTTCGTCATTCTCGACTATTTTGTTCAGTTTTTAATGCTGAATCGAATGCAACTATTTTTAAATTTATTTGATAATACCAACGTAACAATTAGGTCAACAAAATAACATAACAACTTTCACTCGCAGGGATAAACCTCCGTGACGTGCGACCAGTAGTGAAAGAACGGATCATTTCCAAATTCCTGTCGCCAAGTAAACTCGGCGAGGTATGAGTTGGCCATGGTGTTGGCCAAGTTAAATGCGAAAAGTAAACTTTGAACGCTCCACGTTGCCTTTTATACCTCTATCGAGTGTCTTTTAGGCATCATTACTGTATACCGCCCGAAAACCCGATGATAAAAACTACTATTAAAAATGTTGCTAAAATATTCGGAAAAACGAATCCAATAATTTTAAAAATAGTTGTATTCAATTCAGCATTAAAAACTGAACAAAATAGCCGAGAATGACGAAAATTGGCCGCAAAAAATTTTGCCCCCCCCCCCCCCAACTTCAATAGTACCAAAACCGGTGTTACAAATTATCATCAAGGCTTAATTATTTGATAACTTTCAGGTCAACAACCATCACCGCAGTTGCCCAGGCCACAGCAGAATATGATGCCCCCTCAACAACAACAACATATGCAAAGCCATCTTGCTCACCAACAGGTATAATTTCTGCCTTTGACGACATACTTTTTTTCTAGGGTCCATTACACATTAATCAGCCGATGCACGCGCCGCCAAATGGGGTAAAATCCGTCTGAAATTCTTAATCAAAACATTCGTTTAGAAGCACGAGCCGATGGATGTGGGCCATCAACCCCATATGCAAAATGAGCCACACCATCAACCATCTCATGTACGTACCGGCTTTCAATTTATCATTTTTGTTACTTTAGGAACGGCAACAACCAACTCCCTCGCAGCAGCAATCACAACAACAACAACAACAACCACCACCACAGCAACAATCGCAACAGCCCATAAACAATACGCTCTCTGAAGAGGTTGTTTCAAATTCCGAATACCAAATCTTTTTTAGGAAGTTGTTCGCACCTATAAAGAAGGCCCCTTTGCCCATGCGATGATTCGCGCCGAGCAGATCATGGCCAAGATCACGCAGCGGATGAACACGGTTTGAAATTGGAGTTGAGGTTAACGATGTTTTCTAGGCCTGCTACGTCGACGAGGAATTGCTGACGATGATCTCTGATGCCGCTGAGAACAGAGTACGCGAGCTTGTTGCCGAACTGGCCGTCACCGCTCAGCATAGAATAGATCCGAATCCGAGGTATGTTTGGCCAAATAACTCTGGATTCAGTTGGGGCTCAATTTCTCATAATTATAAAGCCGATAATGTGCTGAGTTTCTTCAAAGATCACTATTATTAATTTTTATAGGCTGAATCCGGACTACACCCCCATCGACGACACGAAGAACCAGCTGAAATGGTTGGAGACAATGGACAAGTAAAAAATTAATTAATTCTTGACGCTGTTTTATAGGCAACTGGAAGATCAACGCCTGCTCCGCGAGCGTGACGAGACATCCAAGGGCAATAAGGGGAAAAGTTGGTGGCATTTCGTATGATTATATTTTTTTAGCAAAAGATACCCTCGAAAAGGCGAAGGATATGCAACGGGCCGAGGCTGAAGAGAAGAGGGCCCGCGAGGCGAATGCGGCTGCGATCGCGGCGCTTGGAGGGTCCAAGCCAAGGCCTAACCGGTAAACTACGGCTTATTTTAATATGTCGAAACGTCATAATTTCGAAATTTGTAGGCGATATATCGATTGCTGTGCGTTTTTTGTGGTAAACCACGTCGCAGTAAAATTTCGATAGAAAAGAATAAAATTTTTAAGTAGAGCCGTGGAAACATTGAAGATGCTTCTTTCAATATTTTTTCAGGTGGGACACTGCTGGTGCCGGGTCTGCTGCCCATGCGAATCTTCGTCCCAAAGTCATCCGCGTCAACCTCCGCGATTTTCAGACGGTCTATGCGGCGAACCCAAGGTAAGCTTTTGGGCACCAATTCCAAATTCTTTGTTTTTAGAAACCGGCGCTCGCAAATTCTGCACAAGCTAGCCCTCGCCACACCGCCGGCCGACTCCATTTAATCAAATCACCCCCCACTATCAGTGTTTTCAGTCAAATTTTATCTAGCTTGTTGTTCTCAGATTTCCTAACAGGTCTCTTTCGCGTCGCGGGTACGTACATCATCTCTCTCTTCTCAAATGTCTGTGATCACCGATTTTTGCTCGATTTAGGCATCGCTTAATATGTTCTGCAAGAGCGTCTCAATAAAGCTATTTGTTGTATGGGTAAAGCGAAAAACACGCAGAACAGGCTTCATCGGGTTGCGTTCAGCCGGCCACTCGAAGCAGCAATTTGCGGCGTCCACTATGATTGGTATGGCAGCCCGGGAATGGGCCACACGCACTTTACAGTGGGCCCTTTGGCGAGGAGATGGGTCTCGATCTGGGGCTCTTCCCTTCCAGATCGATCACTAGCCCATGTCGCAGTGACCCAAGCCACACTCCTTTCGACAAAACCGCCGTCTCCTGTTTCCTCCTTGTGACCATTTCCACGACAACAACCTGCTTATTTTTTTATTTTTTTTGAATGTTATTAATCCTGTGGTTTAATTGGAGGGGTTGCACTTTTTCTGTGTTCTCGGATTTGCGTTATAATTAAATAGCAACTTTTGTAATAGAATTTTCGTCTTTTTGAAAGTATCGAAAGACTATGAAAATTATTATTATTATTATTTTCTTCAAATGTTTGAAAAGCGTCGAAAAATTGTCAAAACCTTCTATCGATTTTATAAAATCCTGATTGCCACTGTTTCATAATTTTGTAGGTAAGCCACCGGGCGCTGATGCTCTTCACGGGCAGCGCGGCCGCCGCGCCAAAGAAGAAGGAAGACAAACGACGCGAAAAACCGGAACGAGGTTTTTTTAGGTAAAATAATCCCTTTAATCTCCGTTTTTAGACGAGAAATATGATTTGCAAGAGAATGTCTTCCTCCGCTGGCTGGCCATTATCATCCCAGACGAGGCGCCGAAGGAGGTCAAAGAATTGGCCGAACCGAATCTGGCCGCGAAAGCTATTGCCAGAATCACTGGAAAGCCACCGGTAAGGAGTTGTATGCATTAAAATATCTTTAACGGTATTAAATGGAAAGGATGAAGGGATAGCAAGCTAGAAAAACGTTTTTTTAGGTACAGCCCGGCTCGCGCTACGAATTTTTCCAAGGGATCATCGGCGAGTTGGGGGATTTTGGTACAAAGGTGAGAATCAAGCTTTTTTTAACGCAAAATTTTCAGCTGACCCCCTCGGAGTTGAGCGAACACTCGCAGAAGGCCGTGTTGCAGCTGTGGTGGTGTATTTTGCACTTGTACTGGCGCCGGATGGCACCCGAGCCGTTGAATGGGCAGAAAGTGAGCGAGAAAATGGGTTTTCCCACCAGAAAACCGTTTCCTTAAGTTTTTGGCAGGTTGAAAAAAATCGCAATCAGTATCGATTTTTTAAGATTTATTCATTGGCATTATGAAAAAAAACCCCCGAAATTTGTCGTGTTTGTTTGATTTTTGTTTTTAAAAGTTTTTCCAATGAAAATATGTATAAATGTCACAAAATAATACTATTAAAAGGTTTACAAAAGTAATTCCCCCGATAATGCTCAAGAACCTAGAGTTTTATAGCTTTATTCAAAAATTACCTAAAAACGATCACCATAAAAAATGGAGCAATTTTTGGCCGCAGCGTATTATATCCCAGACGCTATTAAACTATGCAGAATTTCCGTTTCTTAGGTCCAAGAAGCGCTTCGAGGTTGGTGTATGGATGTATGCGCTCGATATCCTGAGGTAGTTTTCACACAAAAAAATGAAGGAACTCCCTATCCAGGTGGCCGTCGTCGACTTCACTTCCTCCTGGCGTGACGGGCACGCGTTCAATGTGTTGCTGCACAACTTCGAGTCGGTCAAATGGTTATCCACAGTTTTCTATGCTCTTTTCAGCCACAAGCTCGTCAAAATGGCGGAGATTGCCGACATGTCGGCGCTCGAACGGCTTGAGCACGCTTTTGCGGCGGCCGAACGACTGGGGGTCCCGAGGCTGTTGACTGGGAAAGGTGGGTGTCATTAAATGTAAAATTTTTTGTAAAATTTGAAGCTTTTAAAAACTAAGAACGGCAAACTAAAAACTAAAGCGGTTATACACTAAAAAACTAGGTAAAGAAAATTATTTGGTACTGTGCTGTTGGCGGGGGGGGCGTTTAGCTTGGGGAGCCAATTTATAGTTGTCCCGTCTGTTAAAAATATATAGTAGATTTTTATAGTTTTTTTTTTTGTAGTTTTCGCACGCCAGAAAGTTCAAATATTTAAAAACTTAAAATTGACAAACTTGTCAATTTTTTGATAATTTTTTGAATTGTTTGAGGTGTGTTTACATAAAAAACCGTCGAAAATGCTATAAAAAATAATTTATATAGAAAATGGGGCCGAACGGGATTACCGGGGAAATTTTGCTTTCCTCCCCCTCCCCCGCTAACAGGCCAGTACCGATTAATTTATAAAGTTAAAATTTTCCCGAAAATTTTTGGGGGTTACCTAGGTATTGTTAGGATGTCTTTCTCCCGCCGAGTGCCTTCATATGCTAATCTGACACAGTCGAATGCCCCCAGCCGGCTCAACCTCCAGCCCCCACATCTAGGCTGTATGCCCAACCCCCGCATTCACCCAAATAACAAACAGTTTTCGGTGGCTACTTGGACAAATGTTTTCTTTACTTTAAAGGGACGGTGAAGGCTGGATTCCTGAGGGAACTCTGCTAGCTTGCCGCGCGGTGTTTGATGCGTTTTGGGGTGCTTTGGCATTATCGGGGGACCTAATTTTCCTCCTACAAATCTAGAAATTGCTAGCAATATAAAAAGTAATCTTTTAAAGACTATTTTTAGTAAATTTAACATTATTTTAAGGGGGAAAACTATCTAAGCAAATCTAAAAATATTGAAATTTTGGTCAAAAATCGAGGATTTTGACATAAAAATCGATATTTTTCTTTTAATAAAAAACCTGCAAAGTTTTGGCGTTTAGACAGCATAGAACCAAGCACAAAAATGCTCAAATTTAATTAAGTTTGATAATTGATACCTACAAAGATGAAAAACCTACAAAATTTAAATTTCGCTGCTTTATCCATTTTTATGTTTTGTGTTTTTTCACATTTCTTTGATTTGAATTTAGTCCTATTTTTTGAATTCTATAATTCTAACCTCTGGATTTGCCTTCGAGGTTCCTTTAAAGCCCCGGGCATCGTAGATAATATTCATCAGCCATTCCCATCGGTCAGGCTTTTATCAACACTCCTCTCTGGCTCGAGATCCGGCTCTGCTAATTCGAAAGCTCTTTCTTTCGTTCTCCCCTTGTGTCGGATTGGAATCGGCTATCGATCTTGCCCCAGGCAACATTCACTCTCTCTCTCTCTCTCTCTCTCTCTCTCTCTCTCTCTCTCTGCCACTTTTTCTTGTCTTTGTCCTTGGCCACAACCCCCTGTCGACTTGTTTTATGGGGGCAATTCGTGGATTGTGTAGGGCTACATTGCTACTAGGTGGGGTGGAGGTCAGGGATTTTAAAGGGTCATTGAAGCCTGCGTTTTTCCGCACATGGCCTTTGCTAGTTACCTGTCTCCCCGACCTCTGCTTTGGATATTTTGACTATTTGCCAGCTTAAAATCGAACTAAAATTACTGAGAGATGTCCACAAGGAAACTCTGCTAGATTGCCTTACTCGTGGCTTTAAGGGAAGCTTTTGCATTATCGGGGGGAACCAATTTTTTGCTATGGATCCGATTTTTCTGATAAATTTAAGGAGTGTGTCTAAGCGGATTTTTACTAGTTTTACTATATAAACTATATAAACTATATATTTTTACTATATAAACGTAAAAATGTTCACAGATTTTTATTAAAAAAAACAAAAAAATTATTTTTTGGCTGAAAAATCCACAATTTTCATGTTTTTAGATAGTTTTCTACTTGAAATATACTTAAATATTACTAAAAACATTACAAAAAGACTGATTTTTAGGCTAATAGGCTTTTCTCATTTTATCCAAAAATACCCCCCGTTAATGCGACAACTCCTCCAAGGCGCTATGAAGCGTAATTCGAGGGTAAAATCACCAGTTTTACGGCCAATTTCCGTTTCAATCCTATAGACGTCGTATCCAGCGGGCCCCTTCCGGTGTCCACCCCTTTTTTGATGTCCGCCCCCTCGGGGTGGACAGGTGAATGGTGTGGCAGGGGGGACGATCATGGGTCCCGATTGAGGGGGCCATTCAATCCCTCTCTCCCTCTCTCTCTCTCTCTCTCTCTCTCTCTCTCTCTCTCTCTCTCTCTCTATATGTTGGTTGACGTTTTGCGCAATGGTTGATGCGAGAAGACGGCATCCCTTCTCGGCCCAGCCACCCGGTCGTTCGTTAATCCCCAGTCATACCTCGCCATACCAGACAATCCCTTACTACCCCCTCCCCCGTTAATGCCCTAATACCTACAGATTTCTTGGCGTCAAGGGGTTTTTGTGGGCCATAGATTTTGTGGTCCTTTGGCATTATCGGGGGGGACGGGCCATCAGGGGAATGGCTGGTTTTTGGATAAATCCAAAAATGTCGAATATCCTCATAGTCGGTATTTTGATAAAATTTAAATATATTTTCTGATCAAAAAAAACTCCAAAATTTTGCAACAAAAAAGAAATTGAAGTCGAAAATCGGGATTTTTGATAGAAAAATCGATATTTTTTGTATTTTTAAGTCAATTTTTAAACGTTTTACGTTTATGAATAGAAAAAATCTATGTAGAATTGTGAAGATTTTATTTTTATTTTTAGATTTTGTTTTAGGGCGAAATCCACCTTCTATCCGCCCATTTTTCCTGTAGTTTTTTTGAAGAAAATGAACGGTGCCGAGCAGGGCCATAAATCAATCTCAATCCCCCTCGGAAAGCGTTTAGTGACCATGTTTTATTGTTAGGGAAGGGGCTAATTAGCATCTCTCTCGCTCTCTTTCTCTCTCTCTCTCTTCTCTCTCTCTCTCTCTCTCTCCTTCTCCATTCCCAGATGGCCTGTAAGTGGTTGCAGAACACAGCCCTCAATATGTCTGGGCACCCGCCCAACAACACAGAGATTTGTGGCGTAGATTTGGATCGTCTCTCTCTCTCTCTCTCTCTCTCTCTCTCTCCTTTCTCTATCTTTCGTTTTTTTTCCTGGCGGCGGTGTGCTGATTGATTCGAGAAATGGCTGGGGTTGACCCTTGCCCCGGCAAATCCGACTTTGGAACGCTCGGAACTTTTCTCTTTCGTGAAAAAGCTGTGAATTTTTGCCTTCGCTGTCCCTTAAAAAAATCTGTGAATTCTTATAGACTCTATTAATGCGTTTTGGACTTATTTTTAGACATATTCCCTTTTTCCGAAAGAATGAGAGGGAGAGAAAGAGAGAGAGAGAGAGAGAGAGAGAGAGAGAGAGAGAGAGATCTATTTCCGGTTGACACCTCTCTTCCTCCTTCCCCGTTATCACTTTCCATCCCCTCTAAAGGGCTTATTTTATGGCTTCCACCCATAAGTTATTTGACGCCTTTTAGAAAAACTGTCTGCCCAAGGCCACACGCATTTTAAGCCCACCTTTGGAGCCTTTTCCTGACGCTTAATCCTTTCTTTTTCATGTTTTTTCTGGTCAACCCAGCCAAATTTCACCAGGCAAGCCAGCAGAAATCCTTTGCGAAATTACATAGGATTTTTTCGCCCATTTTTTTTGGGCTGAATTCCAATTTTGCGTCCATTTTTTGGGCCTCTCTGTGGGTCCTTTGGCTGGGTCGAATTGATTGATGGTCGTCTCCGGGTGGTGTATTTGATCGAGTCTTTTCCTTTCGTCCTTTCTCAGACCCCCGGAGGGGGCCAACAATTTCGATTCGGACCACCGGGTTTTTCAGTCGATTTTTTGGCATTTTCCGGATCAGGAAAGTCGGCATTTTTGGCTGGAAAGCTCACTGAATTTTATCTGATTACGCCATGTAAATGGGACGCTATTTTCAGTTTAATAGTCCTTTAAGAGCTTATGAAAAGGCTTTGCGTCGTTTGCCCTCCCCCTCTCAATTCCCAAATGGTCTCTGCTAGCCTGCCCTCTGTTTCCTGATCATCCCCAATCCCGTGCTATCCCCTATAGCATTTTCTGGGTGATAAATGATCCAAGTGAAAACCGGCTCCAACCGGATGTCCCTGCAACTTGCACGCATTTCCGGTCAATTCTCGTCATTGGCCAAGGCCATTAGGTGTTTTTGGTTTCCTAGTCCCTTTAGCTATTCCACCAATCAATTATTCCGTTCTATTCGATGCCTAGGGCAATGCCCGCTCTCTCTCTCTCTCTCTCTCTCTCTCTTTCTCTCTCTCCCTGTCTAGTCATCAGCTTATGATTCATCCCGTTCCCCCTCGGGTCAGCCGTCCGTTATTTCGGGGCCCTCTTTTTTTTGTTGATTGCCCTCCGTTCTGCTTCAAACAACAATCATTTAGCTAGTAGTAGCTAGTATTTGGAAATTTCGCATATGGCTCTCTCTCTCTCTCTCTCTCTCTCTCTCTCTCTCTCTCTCTCTTTCTCTCTCGTTCCCCGCCTACCACCTATATCTTATCAACTGACACTTCTTTCGTCGGTGCCGATTTTTTTTGGGTGATTTCTGGGTTGCATGCAAGCTCATTCCCAAATTGTCGCTGCTAGCTAGCCGCCTCTCAGGTTTTCTAATCCGCCTTTTAAGCCGGAATTTTTATGCATAGGATCCATTGCTGCTTCAATACCACGATTCCCAAAGGATCTCTGCTAGCTTGCCCAGCCATGCTAATTTTCTGAACCAAAGAACAAAAAGATGTCGTATTGCATTACGCAATGGAAGTGGGGAATCTGCGCCCAAAAAAGGGTCATGACTTGCCAGCTCCTTTAATACGATTCGTTCTAATTTCATAGCGTAATTGGTCGGCGAATTCGCTGCTAGTTAAGAATTGAACTGAAACTCAAAATTGAAAAACTGACACCCCGGCTGTACTCAGACCCCAGCTGGTGCTCCTCCTCCTCCTCCCCCTCAAAAACTCATAAAAGACCCGAGTGGTGCCAAGTGTTAATTGTCAAATTGCAGACCTCCACAGCGAATATCTGGACAGCCGCTCGGTGGTCGTCTATTTAATGTCCCTATATCTTTCTCTACTCGCACATTCTGATCGATCTGAGAGACATACTACTACTACCATTCTGCCGCACGTAAGTTCAAGCCGTTCAGGGAATCGGGTTCTTCCCCTCCTTTCCCTCTCCCCCTCCCCCCTCTCTCTCTCCCTCTCTCTCTCTCCCTCTCTCCCCCTCTCTCCCTTTTTCTTTTTTCTTTTCCCCCCCCTCCCTTTTCTTTCCCTTCTTCCCCCCCCCCCCTTTTTCTTTCTCTCTCCCCTCTCCCCCTTTCTCTCCATTTCCAGCAATCCTCCATCGCCCACCAACAACAACAAGCCACCACCTCCCAGCTACCGTACCCCCAAGAACATCTACTGCATCAGCAGCAGCAGATCCAGTATCCAGAGGTACGATATCAATTTTTATTTTTTTAGTTTATTATTTTATCAGGGAGAACCTCAACATTTTCAACAAGGTCAGCCCTCGCTTATGCAACAGGTGGGGGAAAAAAATTGATTTTCGATTTTCACCTTTTGCGATTTTGCTGTCACGACACCTTTAAACATTTTAGCCATCTACCAGCAGCCACGAAGAGCCATCTGTCGAAAAGACATTCCAGTTGACAATTTTGCCGGAGCCTACTGTGGTGCAGGTAGGAGAGTTTTGTCTTGCTGAGCCCTTTAAGATGTCGTTTAATGACTTTTTATGTCGAAATAGCATATAGAGACAGATTTTGCCGTGCAGGTACCTTTAAAAGAAAAGAGTCGACGTGAGCCTAAGCTTAAGCTAAGCCTGAGCCTAAACCTAATCCTAAGCCTTTAAACCCTCCATGTTTTACATTTATACGATTTTTTTGCTATTAAAACATCGTTTAATTTTTTTCAGACAGTCCCTCTGCCCTCCCTCCCCTCATCAGATCTTCGCCGTGATAAAATGCCACTCCGACAAGCCCAAAGCGTCGATATGCCAGAAGTGGAATCCGTCAGATCTCATAAATCATCATCTTCATCTCAAAAATCATCTCGAAGCCGAAAAGCGAAAAAAGAAGAGCTGGCCAGGGAATTTGATGCTTGTTTGGAACAAGTATTGGCATGGTTATTGGAAGCCGAAGAAGAATGCGCTGTATTATCTGATGTGGAAACACATGATTTGACTGCGGTGAAGGCACGATTCCGGTAAGGAGGGGGAAGGGGTGGGCTAGCAGAGATCATTTGGGAATTGAGAGAGGGAGGGCAGGCTAGCAGAGACCATTTGGGAATTGAGAGAGGGAGGGCAGGCTAGCAGAGACCATTTGGGAATTGAGAGAGGGGAGGGCAGGCTAGCAGAGACCATTTGGGAATTGAGAGAGGGAGGGCAGGCTAGCAGAGACCATTTGGGAATTGAGAGAGGGACGGGCAGGCTAGCAGAGACCATTTGGGAATTGAGAGAGGGAGGGCAGGCTAGCAGAGACCATTTGGGAATTGAGAGAGGGAGGGCAGGCTAGCAGAGACCATTTGGGAATTGAGAGAGGGACGGGCAGGCTAGCAGAGACCATTTGGGAATTGAGAGAGGGACGGCAGGCTAGCAGAGACCATTTGGGAATTGAGAGAGGGAGGGCAGGCTAGCAGAGACCATTTGGGAATTGAGAGAGGGACGGGCAGGCTAGCAGAGACCATTTGGGAATTGAGAGAGGGACGGGCAGGCTAGCAGAGACCATTTGGGAATTGAGAGAGGGACGGGCAGGCTAGCAGAGACCATTTGGGAATTGAGAGAGGGAGGGCAGGCTAGCAGAGACCATTTGGGAATTGAGAGAGGGACGGGCAGGCTAGCAGAGACCATTTGGGAATTGAGAGAGGGACGGGCAGGCTAGCAGAGACCATTTGGGAATTGAGAGAGGGAGGGCAGGCTAGCAGAGACCATTTGGGAATTGAGAGAGGGACGGGCAGGCTAGCAGAGACCATTTGGGAATTGAGAGAGGGACGGGCAGGCTAGCAGAGACCATTTGGGAATTTTTCCCGAAAACTAAAAGTTCAAGCTCAAATTCTAGTGACTACGAGACGTTCATGGCGTCCCTGACGGAGAGCCAGGATACTGTGGGCCGAGTGTTGCATAGGTATTTTCTAAAATGCACCACAGCTATCTCACCCTTTAGGGGTCAATTGTTGTGCCAAAAGTCTGAGACGGAAGAGGAGCGAAATGGAATACAGGACCAGCTCGAGCTCGTCAATTCGAGATGGGAGAGCTTGAGGTATGTATTTTAAAGGGACCGGCAAGGCAGAAGAGCTATCGATTTTGGCGTAATCTCGATACGTGACTTTTACGTGGCGTAATCGATTTTGCTCCTTTAAACGCAGCGATACGCACGCGAATGGAGTTTGATCCCATTACGCAATGAAATGCGTAGCGTGTGCGTTGTCCGAGTTTTAATAGATTTCCTGAAATACATCGCATCTACGGATACAAAGCTCAAATCCTAGCTGACAAGCTCCCTTTAAACCCAAATTTCCAGAGCTCTGGCCATGGAACGCCAGTCGGTCCTGCAGAACGCGCTCACCGGGCTGCAGCAAAAGCAGCTGAACGAGGTAGGCAGCTGAGGTTTTTATGGAATTCTTCCTGTCACTGCCCCTTTAGAAGCGGTTTCTAATGTTTTTTTTTAGATCTGCGGCTGGCTGGCGGACACGGAGACGTTGATCAAGGCCGCCGGGCCCCTGGGGAAACCTCGGATTTGGCGCTGCGCCAGGTATCTAACCTCAAATACCCAACCCATTTTTCTACCAGATCGAAGACCACGCTCGGCTCCAGAAACGTATCGCCGACTTCGAGCCGTCCGTCACCCAGTTGAGCAGCTTCGTGGCGGTGGTAAGCAGCGCTAAAGGGCGCCCATTCTACCGTACCCCTCTAGGTAGACGAGGCCGAGGCTGAGAATGGGGAAATGTCCGTGACGCAACTCGAGAATACACTCAGAAGTGTCGGGCAGAGGTAGCTTTAATTTTTCTAATTTTTGTAAAGTTTGAAATGCAAGTTTTAAGGGTTTTAAAGGAACTTGGAAGGCAACTAGCAGTGATCATTTAGGAAACACACATTTTATGTCCACTAATGCATCAAATAATTCCATTTCATTCCAAATTCCAGATGGGAAGCAATCTGTACTTGGGCGGAAACCCGGGCCCAACACCTCGACGGTCTCTCAGAGCTCATCTCCACCGCCGACGACACCTTCGACAAGTTGCACACATGGATCGAGGAGAGGGAAAAGGTAATATACAGATTATTTGATCTTTAAAGGGACCGGAAAGGACGAAACCCCCTGCTAAAAGTCCAGTACCAAAAAATTTCTGGCCATACCTTGCGCGTACCTTTAAAATAATCTAAATTAAATTTTTTAGGCGTCGCGAAGGTTTTTTCGTTTTTTGACGCGTTGCGTTTGCCTTAACGTATTTTAATACAACCCAATTTCAGCATCTAATGCGCCTAAAATCCGCGCATCACCTCGAAGGACCAGACGAAGTGGCCGAACAGGTCGAACTTCTGCAACAAGCCGAAGCTGCCCTCGAAGCAGAACATCCATCATTTGTGAAGGCATCACAATTGAGCTGTGAATTGGTGGCTAGATTGGAGGGAAAAGCTGGGGAAGAAGTGAGGCAGAGATTGGATCGATTGACTGAGAGATGGGATATGATTGTCACGAGGATTGAAGAACATTCAAATACTCTTGTCAAGAGTGGAAAAGCGGATATTAAAGGAGCAGGGATTAAGGTACGTTGCAGAGACCATTTGGGAATTGAGAGAGGGAGGGCAGGCTAGCAGAGACCATTTGGGAATTGAGAGAGGGAGGGCAGGCTAGCAGAGACCATTTGGGAATTGAGAGAGGGAGGGGCAGGCTAGCAGAGACCATTTGGGAATTGAGAGAGGGAGGGGCAGGCTAGCAGAGACCATTTGGGAATTGAGAGAGGGAGGGCAGGCTAGCAGAGACCATTTGGGAATTGAGAGAGGGAGGGCAGGCTAGCAGAGACCATTTGGGAATTGAGAGAGGGAGGGCAGGCTAGCAGAGACCATTTGGGAATTGAGAGAGGGAGGGCAGGCTAGCAGAGACCATTTGGGAATTGAGAGAGGGAGGGCAGGCTAGCAGAGACCATTTGGGAATTGAGAGAGGGAGGGCAGGCTAGCAGAGACCATTTGGGAATTGAGAGAGGGAGGGCAGGCTAGCAGAGACCATTTGGGAATTGAGAGAGAGGGAGGGCAGGCTAGCAGAGACCATTTGGGAATTGAGAGAGGGAGGGCAGGCTAGCAGAGACCATTTGGGAATTGAGAGAGAGGGAGGGCAGGCTAGCAGAGACCATTTGGGAATTGAGAGAGGGAGGGCAGGCTAGCAGAGACCATTTGGGAATTGAGAGAGAGGGAGGGCAGGCTAGCAGAGACCATTTGGGAATTGAGAGAGGGAGGGCAGGCTAGCAGAGACCATTTGGGAATTGAGAGAGAGGGAGGGCAGGCTAGCAGAGACCATTTGGGAATTGAGAGAGGGAGGGGCAGGCTAGCAGAGACCATTTGGGAATTGAGAGAGAGGGAGGGGCAGGCTAGCAGAGACCATTTGGGAATTGAGAGAGAGGGAGGGCAGGCTAGCAGAGACCATTTGGGAATTGAGAGAGAGGGAGGGCAGGCTAGCAGAGACCATTTGGGAATTGAGAGAGGGAGGGCAGGCTCGCAGAGACTATATGGGATTTTCCAATTGGAAGTAATCGCACATTTTTAGGGTCAAAAATCGCTCGATCGCCCGGAGAAGAAGCGAAAAGTGGCCAGTGAAGAGTCGGAACCTCCAAAAAAGGCGAAAGAAGCAGAAGAAGCGCAAGCTGAAGCTGAACACCTTGCCGAACCTGCTGAAGAAGATAAAGAAACAGCAGCGGAAGTGTTGAAGAAATTCGTAGAGCACGTGGAGAGAGTAGGTGCTGAGATGCGCCCCCTCCACGAATGGTGCCAGAATTTCTCATTGAGCCGTCGCCCGGCTGAGGCCAGGAAAATGATACAGGTACGGCTTTTCAAAGATTATAAAGAGAAATTGGGAGCCTTTGCGTTATCGGGGGGTGGGCAGCATTTTTTCCTCAGTTTGCGATTTTTCTAATATAAATAGAGGAAACGTTTCTAAACTTATTTTTACTTCTGATAAACGTGAAACCGTTAAAAATTTTGCTCAAAACAAAAATACCGGAAATATCGATTTTCGCACCTTTTAAAGTTTTTAGATAATTTTTCCACTTGCAATAAAGTAAAGCTTCAACAAAAACACCATTTAACACACTTATTTTTACAAATTTATTAGACTTGAAAAACCCATCAATTTACCAAAATTAAAAAATTATTAAAAAAATCGGAATTAGATTTTTTTTCAGAAGTACATAATTTTAAATAAATGCACTATTTTTCAGGTGTGCCAAGGGAAGCTGGTGGAAATCAAGGAACAAGAAGGGAGGGTGAATCGCCTTCAACTCGAGATGGAACGAATCCACCGTAACCCGACCCTTTCCGCAAAACAACTCAAAACGGCGAACGACGCATTCGCGGAGTTTGCAAAGGATTGGGCAGAAATTGTGACAAAAATATCCGAGGCGCTGAATGTATTATCGGGACATTCGGATCAAGATGAAGAAGCTGTTGTGGCAAGGGGAATTGAACAATGGATTGAAGGATGTGATAGGGTACGTTGAAGGGGTTGGGAATGGGGGGTGGGTTAGCAGCGATTCTTTCGGAAAATTGAGATAACCTGGGGCGAGCTAGCAGGGACTCTTAGGGAGTTTCAAAGACGTGAGACGAGAGAGAGAGAGAGAGAGAGAGAGAGACGCCAAGCTAGCCCAAAGGCAAGCTAGCAGAGATTCTTTGGAAAAACTGGGATGACTTGGGCAAGCTAGCAGGGATTTTTGGAGTTTTAAAGGTGCCGAGACGCCAGCTATTAGACGGCCTGGCTAGCAAAGGTTCTTGAGGAAAAACTGAATTTTTCTTAGCCGGCTAGCAGAAAGTTTAAAGGCAGGCTAGCAGCGACCCTTTAGGAACACCAAAACTTCCAATGAAATTCAAATTTTCAAGGAATTAAAAGCTTTTCAAGGTGTTGAACGAGATGGGTAAGGCGAGCGTCTCCGAGCGGGCCCTCCGCGCCAAGAGAATCAAAGAACAATGGGATCTCCAGAATGCAAATCTCACTTTCATCCAGAAGGTTTGTGAATTTTTCAGGGAGCAAGCTAGCAGAGATTATTGAGGAAATCCGGAAAGCCATAGTACGTTTTATACATTTTACTAAATAGTACGTTTTATACTATTTACGGGGCACCACGTTTTCTAAGATTTTGAGGACAATCTAGCAAAATTTTTAAGGATACAATATTACGTTTTATACCCTGTAAACTACAGTACGCTATGCGACGCGATTTCAGGATCACCTAAAACGAGCAATCCTGACGAAAGGTCTGCAACTTGTCGGCAAACGTCTCCAACAACACATCGCCTTCCCATCAACCCCCACGTCTTCTGTAATGCATACATCATCTGTACGAGGCGATACTGACGACATCATCCAAAAGGTGACCACAGCAGACTAGCAGTGACAATTTGTGGAATTTCAGATCGAGACGGCCCTAAATGGCCCATGGCAATCTGTGGGGATCATCAGCAAGCTGAGGGAGGATTTGGGGCGGATTGAGAAGATTTTGGAGACGTGCAGGACGGTTCGTGGTTTGAGGGTTATCACGCATTAATGATAGCTTAGATAACAGGCACCTAAAATCCATTTTTCTGGCTTCAACGACCCTTTAAAATCCCATTTTAACGCCGTTGAAGTCAGAAAAATCGGGCCATAGTTTTTTGAATCACTAATGACGTGAATTTTCCCTTCAACCCCCCTTTAAAAGCATGAATTCCAGGAAAGCCTTCCGGTTGAACTGCTCGAAAAGGCCGAAACTCGAAGAGCTGAAACAATCGAAAGACTGGAAATGACACAAAAAGCAGCCGAAGCCATCGAGAAAGCACAAAAAAGGCTAGATCAAGCCGAGGAAGAAACGAAACAAACGGCAAACAATTCCACGGCACCATTTCCGGAAACAATCCGGAAATTGGGGGATTTGAGAGAGAGAATGGCGAGAGATGAGGGGATTAGGGGAGACGCAGACAAGATCGTGGAGAAGATGCTGGGATCGGATCCGGAAATTGAGCAGGAGGTGAGAGAGATTCCCAAATGGTCTCTGCTAGTTTGCCCTGGTTTTTAAGGCTAACGGGGATTATTGTCGAACTTAAAATCATCTCATATGGTCTCTGCTAGCCTGCCACGGTTTGTAAATGGTCAAATCGGCTTTGGATGGCTAGCAGAGTCTTCCTAAATGATCTCTGCCAGCCTTCCTGACCAGAGGAAGTGGAAAATCACCATCGAATGTTAACGGAGACCCTTTCAGAATTCGAAAATTATCCCATGTGGCTTCTGCCAGCCTACTTTATCCTAAAAACCTAGCGCCGTTCAGGCAGGTTGACAGGGATCATATAGGAAACTGAAAGTCCTCGCAAGAAATCCCTACTAGCTTGCCCTTCCCTCCCTTAATGCATTTTTCTACCGCTGCGCATGCTAGCAGAGATCATTTGGGAAACCGACCTCGTCAGAAATAATCTCTGCTAGCTTGCCCGGCCTAGAATTTTTATCACCAGGGCATGCTAGCAGAGACCGTTTAGGAAGTGGAAAATTACCGAAATGGCCTCTTCTAGCTTCAGAAGTTTTCAGACAGTCACCGTCTGGCGTGAGCGTTGTGTGAAATTGTCGACAGATTGGACGACACTCAGTGACAGTCTAGAAGATACACTCTCTTGTGTCAAACGAGAACAGAAGAAGAGCGTACAGAGTAAGCTAGTGTACATTTCTCGATCCGGAATTTTCTGAAATCTATTTTTTCATGCAATTTCTGCTTTTAGAAGCGATCGATGAAGGGGATCGGCTGCTAGAGACTCTAGAGAAGACATTGGAGGAGAGTGAATCTGCGGCCGATGCCGAATCGTTGAGTGAACATTTGGATGTGAGTTTTTGGGCCCTTTTGCATTAACGGGGGGGGCTAATGTTTCTACAAGGCCCCCAGAGCCTAATAACGTAATAGTAATTATTTTCATAATGTTTTAGTAAAATTTAGCCATATCCGCAGGTGGAAAAATTATCTAAACACGTCTAAAAAAGCTAGAAACCGTGGAAAGTGAAAAGAGGAACTTTGTAGTAACAAAAATCTATTTTTTGGATTTTTGAAAAGTCAATTTGTAGAGATTTCTGGCTTAAGACTGATAGAAAACGGCCTTTGTTAGAAAATTTAGATGCTATTCCATCCAACCCATTTTTTCAGCAAATCGAAAGCCTGCTCGAGCAAGTGCCCGATACAAGTCGACTCGAGCCCGTCGTCGATGGTATCAAGTTTATCTTAATTCGCCTAATTCCTACCTTGCAGCAATCGACGAGAACTTCGTGAGGGACAGCTGGCAGAGACATTCGGCTTCAAGGGATAAAATCTCACAAAGGGCGAAAGAGCGTCTCCAGCAGATTGCCGAGAATGTCAAGCAGTGCGAGAGAATGGATGAGATTGGTGGGGATTGGCGAATCGCCAAAGGATCATTACTAGCCTGCCTTCTCCTCCAGGATCTCTGCTCGTTCCCTACCGTCTCCAATTTATTCCCTATTTTTCAGCGGCCGACTTAGACCGCTGGATGCCCCGTTTTTGCGGGCTTTTGGCCGCCCGGAAAGGGGCTGATATCTCTGCCCTTGATGTCCCTGAGGAATATAAGGTGAGCAGGAAGTTTATCTCTATCACTCTCTCTCTCTCTCTCTCTCTCTCCCCCGCATCGCGAACTTCTGAGGCGTTCCGTTTCCGAGTGCTTTTTCAGGCTGTCTACCTTTAAATCGCTCACCTGCCTATCTCGTTCTCTCTCTCGCTCTCTCTCTGTCTCTCGCTCTTTTTCCCTCTCGCTCGCTCGATTCTCTAGCAAAATTCCGCCCAAAGATGCCTCTAGGGAAATATCTTCCATTTCCGGCATCTGAGGTGTTCCATTCCCCAAGGATCCTGCTAGTTCACCAAGGCGGACAACAGGCTAGCAGACCCCAATTGGGAATTGAGAGACGGAGGGCAAGCTAGCAGGGATTCTTTGAGCAGTCCTGGACCTTTCACGCATCCCGAGCGCGCGTGGCGCGAACACCCCCAGGCGGATTAAGGTGGAAAAGCGGAAAGACATTCTTGTGTCACCGCCACTGTTGTGGTCATCTTCAGCCAGTCCCTCAAAAGAAAGAAGGGCCCCCACGGCCCTTCCCCTTTTTTGTGGACATTTCGGGGCACTGGGAGGGCCCCCGCACAACCAACTGGCTGACTGTATTTACCCTCTCGAAGATGACGCCCTATCTCTCTCTCTCTCTCTCTCTCTCTCTCTCTCTCTCTCTTATCTCTCTCTCTCTCTCGCTTCTATAGCCGGATGGGATGGATCGGGGAATTCGATAGTTGGGTGTTTGTCTCTTTTTCGATCCAATCAATCGGAGGTCAGCTGACTTACCGTATCTTTTGAGTATTGGTAAATGCTTGCTGGCACCATCCCTTTAATTCCAATTTTAGGAGGATTTTTATGGCTCTTTGCTTCCTCTCTCTCTCTCGCTCTTTCGCTCTCTCTCTCTCTCTCTCTCTCTCGCGCGCGCAACCAGCTGCGCTTCCTCCATTTTTCAAAAAAATTGACACCCAGCTGGACCGGAAATGGAGCATTTCACACTCCATTATACGAAACTTTTCAGTATATCTCCTTCTATCTCTGTCTCACGCTTTCTCTCTCGCTCTCTCTCCTAATCTCATCCGATTACGGCATGAAAACCTATCATTTCCCTTTCCTGTCGCTTTAAAACGGCTCTTTCAGAAGCCCTTTGAGGCTGGCCAGCTGATAGTGGTAGGAGTTCGGCGTGTTTTGGTTGAGAAATTTCTAAATTTGCATGCGAATTTGATTTGTTTAGATAATTTGCATGGAAAAAAGCAATTTTGGAACTGTAAACGATAAAAACGTAAAAATGCGTATCTTAAGATGTAAATTACAGACTTGTGCATGCGATTTGTTGAGTTTCCCGATTTTGGAGTGGTTTTCACTGTGCTTTTTGGGAGAAAATTCCATATGCAAATGTTTAGGCGATGCAAGATGAGTACAGTGAGATGGCGGGGAAGGTGGAAGAGATGGAAAAGATCGCAAGAGATGCCCCACAAAATGAGAGACTTGCCGAGCAACTTCAGCACGCACAGGTGAGAGAACACTTATCGAGCCATGTGGCATGCTAGCAGAGATTTTTGAGGAAATTACGAAAAACTAACAAGGGAAGGTTGTTTGGGTCAGATGTCAAATCGACTTGAAACTTTGCCAGTGGATAGAAAATCAAAAATAAAGTGGAGTTTCTTAATCTCATTTTTTTGCACAATACCCCAAATTAAAAAGTTATAGGCCTTTGAAGTTACATAAAAAAGCACGAAACGACCCGACAATTCTGATCTGGTCCTCATTGTGGCTTGCCCCCTTTTCAAGCTCTTGCGTCGCCCGGGATGGCAAGCAGTTTGGCGCAGTAGGTAGTGCCGTAGAGTGCAAAACTTTTAAAATTTTTGCAATCGAGTTCAAGTCTTTGATGCGTCCAACTTTTGCTTTTTGGATTTTACGCCAACTAACCCTAATTTGCAAGAGCAAAAAGCAAAAAGCAAAAAGATAGAAACATTTTAGTCTCGAACTTTTGCCAAAAATTTTTCAAAAGATTGTGAGTCTAGCGCATTACCGATTGCGCTAGAAGAGACGTGGGGAGCGGAGACGAGAGAGGGTCAAGAAATCACGCATGAAGAAAATGTGGAAACGGTGCGGTATTCGTGCAAAAGCCTGCTCAGAACTCATTTTTAGCCCACAAACTTAAAACGCTTATAACTTTTTAATTAGGGGTATTGTGCAGAAAACGAGTGAGCGCACCTTGTTCCGTTTTCAATTTTCTATCCACTGGCCAATTTTCAGAAAGATTTGACACCTGACCCAAACAACCTTCCCTTGTAAGCCAAAAGCCCTAAAATCGTTAAACTACAGGATTTCGCCGCTTCTGCGTTCCTTTTAAAGCCCAGAAAATCAATCTGAACCCCCGGGGACGGCTAGCAAAGGTTATTAGGGAAATTCAGGCACTAGACTCTTAGCGGGGGTGAAAACCATATTTTTCGGGGTAATATCATAAATCAAGATAATATAAACCAATTTTATAGCATTTTACACAGTTTCCGATATAAAAATCCATAAAAATCAAATAATTTCGCAAGTTTTTGCTTTTTTGGTGCCCAAAAAGGTTAAAATTTCGAAATTTCAAGACCTTTGACCATTTTTAACTTTCTAGCAACTGAAAATTATTAAAAAATCACTTTAAAAAACATTAGTTATTTTATTCCCACCCCCGCTGCCAGCCCAGTACCGCACGGGCAGGCTAGCAGCGATTTTTCAGGAAAATTGCCGTGGAATTCAGAAGTTCTCAGAAATTTTTGTGTTCCTGAAGTTTATTCAATTTACTTATGAATTTCAGAAGCACTTCTCCGATGTATCCGTCCGTTTCGCCGAGTTCAGACAGCCGGTCCATTTTGAGGGTCGCCTCGAGAAATGCGTCGATCAATTGGCCACTATCGAGCAATCTATCGATGAAATGACAGGTGGCGAGAACGAGATTGGCGTACGGTAGAACATGCATCATTTAGGGATCAAACTCGTTGCCCTTGACAATGGATATCTCGAAGCAAAAGCTGTTGCTAAGAAGCTGGTCACGATCGATGAAGATTTGAAAGATTTGGAAGGGGGAAGAGAGAAGTTGATGGCTGATGGGATTTTGGGTGGGTGCATTTTAGCAATCCCGGCGCTGGTGCATTAGCGGGGGGGGGTTTCAAGGTTTCCATTATTTAATCAATTCCAGACAGAAAAGAAGCCGCCGAGATTCGCGATAAAATCCACGGGGCGAGGCGGAAAACGAAAGAATTGGGGTTGAGGGCAGAAGAAGCCGTCGATCGACTCGATGACTGCCGGATTCTGGCGGAAAAGCTGAAGAATGAGACCAAAACAGTACGTTTTGTACTATTTGCATTAAAGGGACAAGCAAGTCGGGGGTGTACCCGGCTTCCCTGTCCCTTTAAACTTTAAACCACGCCCCTTTTCAGGTTGATAGGGTACTTGAGAGTTTGGAAACGAGACTGGAAGAATATGGACGGCAAGAGAGTTTGCTGGATGAAGAGAAAATCGAACAGATGGTTAATGAATGGAATAGGTGAGAGAGAGATAGCGAGATAGAGAGAAAGAGAGAGAGCGAGAGAGAGTGAAAACAACTAATTTTCCATCCATATTTTCCAGAAACGAATCCCTCCTCCTATCCCTCGAAGAACTCGAACGAGTCCTAAAGGCAAAAGCCGTCGATCTGGACACTCGAGCATCAAGTGGTGAAAGACGGCGAAGAGCACAAGAATTAAAGGTAAGCCCTCACAACCTGTAGATGACCTTTCCAGACCCGTCTTGACGCCTGGAATCTGACCGCCAGGGAGATGAACGATGATGGGGATGAGCTGCTTCTTGAGGTCGACGAGCTGCACGAGGATTTGTTGAGGAAATTGGACGAAGTCGAGGCTGAGGACGACCCCAAGGAGGTCAGTATCAGCATCTTTTCACTTTCATGCTCTTAAATGTTCTCATGAAATTTCTGCTTGAACCTCCATTCCCACATGGTCTCTGCTAGCCTGCCCTCCCTCTCTCAATTCCCACATGGTCTCTGCTAGCCTGCCCTCCTCACTCAATTCCCAAATCGTATCTGCTAGCCTGCCTTGCCTTACGGTGTCTTAAAGGGACCAGGAAGTCGACAAAATGCAAAGTATATGGCGAGCTTGCCAGTCCCTTTAAAGTCCCGCTAAAGCCACGGCCACCCGATCACAAGGATCCCCATTAAAATTGTGTGTGTGGCTGTGGGCCAGCAAAAACGTGGCCCCAGCAGGGGGATAGTAGAAAGGGGAGGGCCCTAGACATGGGACAAGACGCTTTACACCCGGAAAGAGAGAGAGAGAGAGAGAGAGAGAGAGAGAGAGAGAGTGAGCAAGAGCCTCATCGTGAGCCTCAGCACCTCATGCTCAACAGGCCGCCGGGCACCGAGTTTTTTCTTCTCTTTGCATAGCCCGACTGGATTGTCGGAGATCATTTTCGGTCCATCTGTTCTGCTACTAGGCGCCGTTGTTTAACCTTTATTTTGTGAATTGTTAGCCGGATTTTCGCAAATGATCTCTGCAAGCTTGCCTAGACCAGTTTTTTTTCGCAAATTGGCTCTGGTTTCATTTGCCGTAATTTTTTTCAAATGACTACTGCTCGCTCGCCAGGCTTTATTTTCCGCAAACTCGGCTAGCTCTCTCGGCTAGGCTGCCATCATTTCCCTAAATGATCTCTGCTGGCTCGCCAAGCCGTTTAGACCCATTTATTCCACACCGACAAACAACACGAGAAGACACAATTTTCATTAAGAGTTAAAAAGCTTTAATTCGGTTGAACTGCTCGGTGTCGACGGCCCGGTCATCATCCCTCGCTGGATTCCTCGTCCTCATCGCCAATGTCAAAATTCAGCTTGGGCGGGGGCGGCTGAGGCGAGTCGATCGAACGGCTTGGAGTTGGCGGCTTGGGGGGATGGGGCGGGGAATCTGAAGTAAAGAGTTTGTTCTTTTGTGCTAACTACAAATCGACAAACCTGCAATAGAGGAGAGACTGGGGCGGCCGAGGACGCTCAATGGGCTCAGCACGTTTCCTAGAGAACGAGGATGAGAGAGAGAGTGAGAGAGAGAGAGTGAGAGCAACCCAGCCTTACCGAGCAACTGCGGCGAGTAGACGAGACGATCGGGCAGCGGCGATGGCGGCGGCGACAGCAACAAGTTCAGCCGAGACGTATTGATCGGAGAATATGCCAACTAAAGGAGCAATAAAGGCAGAGTGCCATGTCTCACCAGCGGATCCTTAAACGTCCCCTTGACGGCCTTCACCCGGTTGTTTTTGGGAGGTGGTGTCGATTCCTGGGCGCTGACATAGCTCGAGGTCTCCGGCGAGAGAAGGGTTGAGGATGAGCTGCTGCTCAATGGGGGCGTCGTGCTCGCCTTTCTCTGATTGATGCGATCAAAGGTGAGCCCGTGCTCCTCGAGGATGTCGTAGACTTCGGACTTGGTGAAGATGGGCGTCCAGGGGACGCGAGGGGTATCTGAGGCAAAGGTTGTTCGAAATTATGCATTCCGGGATTTCAAAAGCAAAAAGCAAAATTTTTTGTTGCGGGCGGGATTCGAACCGGCTACCATGGATTCGTAGGCGCGGATGCTAACCAATAGGCCATCGCGGTTACCCGCTCCCCCGGTAACAGACAAGTACCCAAATTTTCTGATTTTTTGCTTGCAACTCCCCACCAGTCTTTCCATCATCGGGATGACGTTTCCGGCAATCCCTGGCCACCAATTCGGCGGCACTGTCGATATTCCTGCGAAGATGGGCCAGATAGCGGATGAACGGCTGCTAAAATGGGGTGTCACCATCCCTTTAAATACCCCACCAGGTCGAGCAGCTTCTGGTAGATGTTGTAGGCGCGGGCGAGCAGGTCGGCCAGTTGGTTGATCAGGCAACACTTCGCATTCAGCAGGCGATTCGCCAGGCCCGGGGCACTGTAGAATAGGGGGTACGGTGGTTTAAAGGGGCTGGGAAGGGTAAGAGTTTACTTTACCCCCCCCCACAGCCGAAGGGTCCCACAGGTGTCGGTATTTTCGCTTATTTTTTCGGGATTTTCGCAACGCCATTCGATAGAGCGTCGAAAAATATACTAAGAGTTTTAATTTGAGCCTACAATAATGTAAAATAAAAAAGTTATAGCCAAAAACTTCCGGCTGGGGGGTGGGGTAAAGTAAACCGTAGCCCTGGGAAGGGAGAGTCATTGATTTTGCCGGGTCGTGAACGTACTCCGAAGCCAAAGCTAAGCCGAAAGTAAGCATGAATCAAAGCCCGCTGAAGGGGAAGCCTGAAGTAAACCTAAGCTCCAGCCTAAGCCTAACCCTAAGCCCAAGCTAAGACCAAGCTTAGTCCGAAGCCCAGGCCAAGCCAATGCCTAATCCTAACCCTAAGCCCAAGCTAAGTCAAGCCTAACAAGCCCCTTCTCTACCTTTTCACCTCCAATCTCTCGTCCAAAATATCGACGGTATTGCGTACGCGGATGCACGCGTCGCGGGCGAACCGCTCGTAGTGCAGTTTCAGCACCGTTTTCTAGAGGGACTCGGTGGCAGCGTAATTTGCATCAAGCAACACTTACCACTGGCGACTCCATCGTCGGGGAGGCCGCCATTTTGGGGCGGTCGTGAATTTTTGGCAAATTTTTGGAGAGTTTTCGGGGCAGAATTTATGCAAATTAGGCTGGGATTCAACTCATTCTTTAGTTGATTTAATTTAATCGATGAATGCAAATATGGCTTTAAATTTTTAAAGTACCACTGAAATACGCGACGTAAGCGATTTTTGGGGTTAAACGTTCGCTCTCTCTCTCTCTCTCTCTGTCTCTCTCTTTCTTTTTCTCTCTTTCTCTCACGCTCTCTCTATCTCTCTCTCTCTGTCTCTCACTCTCTCTATCTACTCCCTTCCTTCCAGATCGCCTCTCGCCTCCGTTTCCTCCGCAACGATCGTGATCGTCTCTCATCTCGTGCTCGCCGACTCGCCATCCTCAACCCCCGAATGGCCGGAAATGACCCGGTAAGTCCTGTCGCCGCCCCTTTAACCGACTTCTCCAGGTCTCCGACGTGAATTCCCGTTGGCAGCGTCTTGAGCAGCGACTGGAGCAACAGCCCTCCTCCTCCTCATCCCCTCCATCCCTTCCCCCTCCTCATCCTCCCCACAGTTCATTTGAGGATGGAGTCCGGCAATTGGAGTCGAGGTATCGATCGTGTATTTTTGGAAAAATCTCAAAATGTTCAGCTTCGACGAGGCGGTGAAATTCTTGGACTTTGACGAGTATCCAGTCAGGAATGGGCACGAGTGGAATGATAGGGTTAAGGTAATACATTTTGAGGCATTTATTTTCGTCTGAGTATCAAGGCTTTTTATTGGTTATTTCTATAATTGTATAAAAAATTAATGAATGACAAATGGCAAAAAATAAAAATTTTCAAAATTTAAATTTTTAAGAGCATTTTTATGATTTCCTGTCAATTAAAAACTACTAAAAACGCAAGATACAGTAGAGAGAGAGAGAGAGAGAGAGAGAGAGAGAGTAGAGTAGAGTAGAGTCGAGTAGAGTAGAGTAGAGTAGAGTAGAGAGAGAGGGGAGACAGAGAGAGAAAGAGAGAGAGAGACAGTGAGAGACAGAGAGAGAGAGAGAAAGAATGGGAGAAAGAGAGAGATACAATTTTTTTGATTTATATTTCCAGGAAGCGGAAGCGTGGATGGCAGCCCGGCGTGAAGCTCTAGCGGAAGTAGTAGCTGAAGGGAGAAGGCTGGCCGATACGGGCAGAATGGAGCTCGAGACGCACAGGGCCATTGAACAGCTCGACAACGTCATCGATGTCGCTAATGAGGTAATCATATACAGGGTGGCGATTAATTACCTGCGCGAGAGAAAACGCTCGCTCCGAATTTTCCTTTAAGCAATCTCTGATCCATCTGCATTTTATGATAGCACAAGCTATCTAATACTTATTGTACAGAAAAAATTTGGGTCAGTGGCCCTCAACTTTTTTCCAGCCCGAAAAATGTCGTCGAGCAAAAAAGCGCGCGCGCCGCGGGTATGTACCGATCAAAAGGCCCGATATTTTTTTCAGTTCGATACGTCGTGCCCTCAAAATTATTGTTAGTTCGATGCCTCCGCTTACCCTCCAGATGCTCAAATCCATTAAAAGCATTTTTATTAAGCCCTAGCTCTACCAAATAACAAAAATTCTACGACCAATTTCCGCCTGGAGCCGAATCGGCCAGAATGAGACACCTCAAAAATAAAAAGATTTTTCGGGGAAGTGCAATTTCGTTGATGTAGCCTTCTTCTTATTGGTTTGATAGGGCGCATTGTTAAATTGAGGCCGGTTCTGAAGAATTTTGGGGAAGTTCTGGGCCAAAAATGATGCCATCATTTCAGCCCGCGGCGCACCTCAAAAATCGTCAGTAATTTCTAGCATTTTTGGATTCTAGTTTCCTGATAAAGCCTTATGAACCAAAGAACTTTTGGCATATGGTTGTTGTAAGGATTGTACATATTTTCTCATATCGTACCGATAGATTCACGCGTAATATCGAAAGGACGCGCGGTTTTTATTTCCATTTGACCGATGTCGTTCTCGATACTGTACTTTTTATCTTTTTGACTTAGGTCGGTTTTCGAACGCTTACTACGTTTGAAAAGAAGCGTGCAACATATCTGAGCTGTTTTAGAAAAGATTAGCTACCGCCCATGGCTACAGTAGGCTTCAAAAGTGTGACCATGCGATCACGATCCGCGTTGTGAAGCCGGAATTTATGTTTCTTAGCTCGTAGTTTTTCGTGATTGTTTAACCCGGTTAAAATTTGGATAGGATGCGACTAAACAACCACCAATCTACAGGGTGCGTCAAAAAAAAAAAGCCAAGTTTGCACCAAAATATCTCGCTTATCTTTGAGAACCGAAGGTACGTTACCATGCCAGAATGCTTAAATATGCTGGGTATGAAGATTTAACACAACTTGATTTTTTCGATTTTTGGCGACGTACTCATACAAATGACACCCGAAAACTGTGCGTTCCGGCAAAACTTCGTTTGCATTTTTTAGGATTGCTGGTGGTCGAACACTTCCAATTTTTACAGTGTAGGTACCTAAGGACTGCCCCTACGCACATCCGGAATTTTGGAATTTTCGAAGGTCTGGTTGGCAAGTTATAGCATGCTCAAATTTAATATGGAGAAATTTCGTAAATTTCGAATATTACAAAAACCTATGGCGGAAACCTCAAAATAAGCTCTTTTAGCATGTCTATAGGCTCGATACAATCCCGCAAAAATATCAAAAAAAAATTTCAGATCCGCAGATTTTTGAGTTTTTCGACGACCCCCTGGTCATGGATTCTTTCGAGGTCACGAAACTGAACTTTGGAAAAATATTTCTAAAATTGCAGATAGAATTTCGGTGTTTGCTTTGCTTGGTTGTGTACAGGGACGTAGCGTAATACAGGCCCCGGGGGCCCGGGGCCCCCCCCGAAATCGGCCGGGGCCTGAAAATTTCATAAGGGGGGACCCTTATGATTTTCATTTTCTCAAAAATTTTGCTGCCTGCGGCGCTATTCTTTCACGTTTTTACGGTTATTTGTAGAGCTATGCAACCTTTTTTTCAAAAATTTTTGCCTGCGGCGCTGTTTTTTCGACAATGTTTTGAGTTTTTTGGAAAATTTTTTTGGGGGCCCCCCCCGAAATTTTTTTCTGGCTACGCCCCTGGTTGTGTAGTACTGGAGTCCATCTATCATGCACACAATTTCTAGCTACCGTACCCCTTTGGAAGGTTGCCTTTTAGCGCCTCCAAAACGGATGGTTCGTGCTATTTCGCAGATCTTCGTGCCAGTTTAGAAAATTCATTTGCGCGGCTAGAATTATTGTCATAATTTTATTGAATACTACTTAATGGGCGCGTTCTAAAATTATATTTACAAATTTATTGGGCCATCCAATCTCTCAAAAGAAATTCAGGAAAAGTGCAAATATACCCGAGTTCGAGGCGACATAAAAAAATTCTCGAGGGTTTAGTAGCCCCGACTTTTCTGGCATAGACCAAGTTTGGGTAGTCAACTAGAACCCACGCGAATACAAAATCTTTTCTTGGCAAACGAATTTAGAAGACTTCCCCAAAGTCGGCTTTTCAAAAAACGTGATTTTCGGGTTTTAAATCAAAATTAACCATTAAATTCAGCCAGATCATTCCAGAATTCTGCTTTTATACACTGTTCGATGCGTACGTTAATTGTATCCACCAAACCCCGGGGCCTTTTTCATTTTAAAAAATTTTTTTCGGGGCAGGGTGTCGGGTCCAAAATCGGGCCCCGAGGAGGGTTTTCTTCTTTCTCCTTCATAACTTTGTCATTTGCCACAGGAGTAAAGTAATTTTTTGTAGGTGCTCTTACAATCACCCAGAGAACACTATAGAATAGAAAAATCGGCATTTTATGGCATTTTGTCTTGGCATGCTAAAACGCGCTCCAGGCGGGTTACTGTAGAAAACACAAAATCGCCGTTTTCTCGTTCTTTTCACCATAGAAACGTTTCGATCTTTCGGGAAAACAAATAATAGTAGTTTTTGGTCCGATGCATCAAAATATTTAGACATTTCCGTGGCTAAATTCAAAAATAAGTTTTTTACATATTTTAAGAAGGTTTATGGCTGGAACTCCACGATCTTTGGCCAATAGGTGACCCTTACTGATGTTTACCAATGATAAAATTTTAAGCGAAATCGCAGCTTACAATAAAAAGAAAAACGCGAAAAACGAAAACTACAGTATCCCTCTGGGGCACGTTTTAGCAAGCAATATTAAAATACCATAGAATCAGGTAAAATTTGGTGTTGTGCTAAAGATTATCATTCGGAAATGCCATCTGCAAAAAATCAGCCATGGGCAGCGCATTTGAAGCGAGTTGCGAATTAAAAAGTAAAAATAAGCAAAATAGGGAAATTTGTTTTGCCTGTAAAAAAAAGAACTAAACCTTCAAAAATTCTAAGACTTTACTATTATTTTTCTACAAATGTCAACTATTTATAGGCCAAAAATCAGAATTTGCCTACCACCCGTTCAAGAACGCACAATTTTCGGTCGTAACCAGCGTCAATAGTACAGTTGCGTACTCAAAAATCGAAAAAATCAAGTTGTGTTAAATCTTCATACCCAGCATATTTAAGCATTCTGGCATGGTAACGTACCTTCGATTCTCAAAGATAAGCGAGATATTTTGGTGCAAACTTGGCTTTTTTTTTTTGACGCACCCTGTAGTAAAACCACTCTCTCCAAGAAAATTTCAAGCCTGATTTTTGGGGGAAAAAGCGACGCGCAGGTAATTAATCGCCACCCTGTAGTAAGAAAAAGCGTTTCTAGGCTGTTTTTACGACTCTTACAGCGTAACAAATTTTATTAAAAAATAGAAAAAATATCGATTTTTCGCTCAAGACTAAAAAAACACAATTAAAGGAATTTCTGGAGTTTAAGGAAAAGTTGGTTACCCCCCCCGATAATGGAAAAGAAACGGTTTAATTCTTCCAGTTCGAAGCGGAAATCGAGCGAAATCGTGGTGAGGTCGACCTCGCTGTAGAAAAACGCGATGGACTGGAGAAAGACATCCGAGCCATGGTTGACGTCATCCACAGTCTAGCCCAAAGAAACCTGCAAGAGCCCGAGATTGTCCAAGTATCATTTCCTATACGTTGCCCTAATTACCGTATTACAGGCGACGCGTCGAGATCTCTCATCGAGAGATCCACAGCTGTGCTCTCTCTCGAGGAGAGCTGCCGAGCTACACGCATCGTTACCTGGAAGGTGGGTGTTGAAAGGGTTCATAGGCTCGCCCAACCCGGGTTGCGTCTGGCTCATTGCCTAGGCTCTTGCTTCGTAAGTGTGGGCCCCGGGTTCGAATCCCTGCCGGTGCGCGACTTTTTGCTTTTTGGAGATGAGCTTCTAAAAACGTCAAAGCAACCGATTCCAGATCCTCGGCTTCTCGCGATGCATCGCTGGATGAGCTGAATCAACTTCTCGGCCAACTCGAAGCCGGGCTGGCAGGATCGGCTTCACGCAGCGAAACAAGAGAACCAGGCCCCTCACAACCATCGCCAGATAGAACCTCGAGGAGTAGTGTTGGAGGGGAGCTAGGTGAGGGATGGGTTGAACTTGTTGAAGACGTCGATCGGGAGTTTGACTAGATAGTAGGCGGGCGAGCTAGCAGAAATTATTTAGGAGAATCGACCGGCCGAAGGGGTCGGGCGATCTAGCAGAGACCATTTGGGAATTGAGAGACAGAGGGCAGGCTAGCAGAGACTCTTGAGGAATCCGAGTTTTTAACCCCCCGTTTTTCAGCGATGGAGGTGATGTGCACGGACCAGGGCACAACCACCGAAGAAGAGAAGTCCAAGGCTGAAGCTCAGGTACGTTGGGGTGTCATTTGGTGCATTGCGTTGCTTTCGCCCTTTGCCCTTGCGCTTACTGTAGTTGCTGGGGTACGGTAGTGTGGGTGAGTTATGCTTTTTTATGCAAATTAATCAATTTTTTGTAGAATTTTTGCCATTAAATTCGATAAATGTATGAAAATTATTAGCGCCTTGTGAAGCACGTTAATAAATTAGTGTTCTGCCCTGAAATTCCACGCATCCTACCGTACCCCTGGATTACTGTAGGAAGAGCCGAAACACCGTCAACAATCATCCGTCGACATCCCGATCCACTTTGAGCCCGAGCAGCCGCAACGTCTCGGCCAGATGAACATTGAAGTAGAAGAGGAACAGGCGAGTACAGTAGCACACTTTGCATCTATTGCACAACACCATAATACACCTAATGACGGTTGTAGCCACGGGTCTATCCCCGTTGGGATATGCACTAATGAGATAGTTAACCTTCAGAAGGGTGGAGACGTCGTGGCAACGTCGTCTGCAATTCAGACTTCAAAAACTTCTGAAGAAGAAGCTCGGCAAGCCGTGACGTCATCAGATTTTAAGCCAGAAGATAGATATGAAGCTCAGACCGCTTCAAATGTGAAGCAACCGGAAGATCATGCTCCTGAAGCTTCTGAAGCCAAGTTGGAAAGGACGTCATCTGAAGCCAAGGCTCTAGACGATGACGGAGCCAAGACGATTTCCAGAGTGACAGCACCTGCAACGAAGCTGGAGCCCGAATCTCATGCTCCTGAAGCTTCAGAATCGGCTGCTAAGTTGGAAAGGACGCCTCCTGAAAAGAAGCTGGAGCTTGAACCTCGGGCTCCAAAACCCGAGGAGCAAGACGCTCTAGCCCGAGCTCCAGTAGTGGAAGCGGTGCCAGTTATGCGTTTCTCGGAAAACCAAGAAGGCCTAGCTCATGCTCCTGAAGCTCCAGAATCCGAAGCTAAGCTGAAAAGGATGTCCTCTGAAGCCAAGCCCGAAGCCGAAGCCCAAGCTTCTCCACATCCTGAATCCGTAATCACGTCAGCTGGGCCCAAGCCGCAAGCCGAAGCTCAAAAACCTGTCGAAGCCCCAGAACCAAAGCCCGAATCGTCGCCGATCCGACATTACGCTGTGAAGTCGGTGTTGGAGCAGGTGTTGGACAATGTACGATCACAAAGCTCGTCACCGGATACGGCTTCAGTTGAGCTGAACTTCCCCAGTTCGTCGGAAGGAGAATTTGGAAGCTCCAGTGAGGAAGAAGGTGAACAGGCAAAAGAAGACGTTGAGAAGGCGACGGAAGCTCACGATGTCGAAGCTGTTCAAGCAGATGATGCTCATGAGCCTGCTCAAGTCGCAGTTGAGCCTGAAAGTCTGCAACATAAAGAAGAACCACCGCAACTTCAGCAAGCGGCTCAGCCAGTAGGTGAAGCCGAACTCCCCGAAGTCGGCGCCGCAGAAGGGGTGCCTCGGCCTCAAAAAGCAGCCGGGCTTGGAATCGTAGCCACCAAGCCGGTAGATAAAGTTTTATTTCCTGAAGTCGCTGCTCCACATAAACCTCCACCTGTGGATGAAGCTATAAAACCAGTAGGTGTATCTGGACTCCCTGAAGTCAGCGCTCCAGAGCTGCTTCAACTTGAGGCCAAAGCCCCGGAAGCCCAATTAATCCTGACCGACGTCAGACCGGTTGAACTTGGCGCTGAGCTCGTCCTCAGGACCCCATCTCCAAGACCGGAAACACCGCTAGAGGGGGTGCTGGAGAAGGTCAAGGATTCTCTTGATGTGTCGGCTATTATTGAGACCGTACTGCTCGAGTTGGAGCAGGTGCCGAAGGCCGTAAAGGTTGAGCACGAGGAAAGAGCTGTAGGAGCTGAACCGACACCGGAAGAAGCCGGAAGGGTTCCGGTAGTCGTAGAAGACGTAAAAACCAAGCCATATCCGGACGAATCCGGCGAAAAAGCGGGTACAGTAGGAGTTTCCGACAAGGTGCAGGAAATTCTGGAAAGATCCGATTTACAAAAGCCAGTTCCGGAAGTTCAGAAAGCTGTTGTGAAGCGAGAAGCGGAAACGTCTCCAGGAACCGAAATTCCGGAACAATCCACCGTACAAACGGTAAGTTCAAGAATTCCGGAAGAATCCGCTCCTAAAGCGGCCATTCCGAAAGAGGTAGCATACCGGAAAGAAACGGAATCAAACTCAGAAATTCAAGCAATTCCGGAACAATCCGACATGCACCCAAAAACCACAAAAATCCCGGTTGAAATCGCTGAAGAACCGGCCATTCCTGAAGAGCAACCAGACCGGAAAAAGCCCGAAATTCCGATGCACTCCTCCGTACACTCAAATCCAGAAGCCGACACCTCAAATATCCCGAAAGACTCATTCTCCGGAGATGAATCAACCTTGAGCATCATCAACTATGAGGACAACCTCGTTCCCGTTGAACCGGAAATGGCCAATATTGAGGCTACCGTAGCCCCGAAACAAAAGACGGAAGCGGATACGGTAGCCCTGGCAATAGCCCCACTACAGCACGCACCTATTGACGAACCGGGGATACCGTATCCGGTGTATAATTTGGAGGAGGAGGACGGGAGGAGTTTGGACTCGTACTCTGAGCCTTTATCGAAATATGAGACTCCGCCAGAGACTTTGAGGGATGCGACACCGTCTAGTGATGAGATGAGCGATGTCACTCCGAAGCCGTTGGCTGGGGTTGAAGCTCGCGAAGCTCTTGAAGCTAAGCCAGGGGAAGAAGCTTGCGAAGCTAGAGAAGCTCAGGTTAAGTTAACGAAGCCGGCCGAAGTTCCGAAAGAAGCTGATGCTCAAGTTGCAGCTCATGCTTTTGAAGAAAAGCCGAATTTCGGGGAGTCAGCGGATCAAGGTTCTCGGGCTCCGGAAGCTCAGGCTCAGTCGTTGATGCCTGCAGAAGCTGAAGCTAACCCATTCAAGCCAGAAGATCAAGCTTCTGAAGTTCATGCTCCCCAGCCCAAGCTGGAGCCTAAAGCTCTTGAACCTCAAAACAAACCAGCTGAAGCTCAAAAACTTCTGGAAGTTCAAGCTCCAAATTCTGAACCCAAGCTCAAGCCTCAAGATGAAGATTTTGAAGCTCAAAAATCAACTCAGCAGGCTACAGCTCCTCAACCTCCTCGTGCTCAAAACCCATCCCCCGAAAAACTAGCCATACTCGCCGATCAGGACCCGGAACTGCTCGAAAAAGTACGGCAAGCCGAAGCCGAACCAAAGCCGTGGATCCGACAAGCCGAGAGGGCCCTTCAAAAGGTTCTCGAGACAGCCATTGGAGCACGTGCTCACGACGATGATCATCACCAGAAGCATGTAGATGAGGCGAGAGAATGGCTGCGGCAGAGCCCGGAGAAACGGCAGACACAAAGGGGAAAGGTCGGAACTGTTGCTCCCCGCTCGGTTCCGTTCGAATTCCGTTTCTTTACGTTCTACTCCAATGCACACTCATACTATTTCCGATTTCTAACATTGCTTTGGCTGGTCTGTGCACTAATAGAAGCATTTTAAAGGGATTGGCAAGTCAAAAAAAATTGAATTTTGAGGTAGTGGGAAAAGGGAAAATTGATACTTTTGACTTCCCACTCCCTTTAATTTCCGTTTGTTGATTTTTATAGCGTAACCTTTCGATTTTTAGACAGACTCCCGTGAGGTGACACCAGTAGAAAAGGGTCAAAGAGAACCGAGTGGGTCGCGGGTGGAAGAGGTGAGGATTACGGTGGGATCTGACGATAGGCAAGCTAGCAGGGATTTTTTGGGAAATTTAAGGGAGCCGGCGGAGACTAGCAGAGATTTTTAGGATTTGCTACAGCAGTGTTTTTGGAGAGTTATAAAAGATCAGGCAAGCAAGCAGAGATTCCTTGGGAATTTGAGCTCTTTTGAGTTCTCGGGAGGAGCGGGTTTTTGTATCAGCCAAGCATAGGCGCGTAATGTAATAGTAAGAATTTTAATGAATTTTATCGTAAAATTTAACCATATTTAAAATGGAAAACAAAAACCGATTTTTTTAGTCGACTTTTGGTCAAAAATCGGCCCTTTTTCGTCAAAAAACCTTTTTTGAATTTCAATTGTAAAATTCAGGATTCAGGTGAGATCTATGCAAAAAATAGTTTAGAAACATTAATTTTATTGGAAAAAGAAGCTCCTAAGGAAAAGTCCCTCCCCCCGATAATGCAAAAGTAATGTCATGGTGAGCTTAGCAGTGATATTTTGGGAATTTTCCAAGCCGTCTTACTATGGCAAAAAAATCATGAAAAATCAGCTTTAATCCCCCTTGGAAACGGCGTGATAAATCCAACCCTCCGCATTTGCAGGCGATCATCCCAAAATCCATCAAATCCTACGAAAAGACCCCGCCACGACATCAACCTTCTTCTTCCAAAAATCGACCCGACATGGATGAGGTAAGAAATTTAACACAATTTAAATTAGAAAACGTATAGCAAAAAAAAACGAAATTTTGTTCATTAAAATATTTAACAAACTTATTTTAAGTTATTTAAACCAAAACTAACTTACCCTTTTAGGTCTACGAAATCCTCGACAACATTGAAGATGGACTATCGTTTGAAGAGGAATATCCACTCGAAAATGTTGAGAGAGATGAGAGACATTATAAGGTGAATTCACCTTAAATAATGCCCCAACTACCGTATCCCATTTCAGGAGATGCACAAACAATTGGATGAAGCTGCAAAGGCACTGGAGGCGAATCTCATGGAAATGAATATGATGCAGGTAGGGCTAGCAGAGACCATTTGGGAATTGAGAGGGGGAGGGCAGGCTAGCAGAGACCATTTGGGAATTGAGAGAGGGAGGGCAGGCTAGCAGAGACCATTTGGGAATTGAGAGAGGGAGGGTAGGCTAGCAGAGACCATTTGCGAATTGAGAGAGGGAGGGCAGGCTAGCAGAGACCATTTGGGAATTGAGAGAGGGAGGGTAGGCTAGCAGAGACCATTTGGGAATTGAGAGGGGGATGGCAGGCTAGCAGAGACCATTTGGGAATTGAGAGAGGGAGGGCAGGCTAGCAGAGACCATTTGGGAATTGAGAGAGGGAGGGTAGGCTAGCAGAGACCATTTGGGAATTGAGAAAGGGAGGGCAGGCTAGCAGAGACCATTTGGGAATTGAGAGAGGGAGGGCAGGCTAGCAGAGGCCATTTGGGAATTGAGAGAGGGAGGGCAGGCTAGCAGAGACCATTTGAGGTGGGTCGATGGTTGCCAATTTCAGGCGGATCACACCCGAGATCGTATCGAAACCCTGCGGAAAGATGTAGATGAACGCAAGAGGAAAGGCCATGATGAGAAGAGAGAATGGATCGATTTTTCGAAGACCCTACAAGAAGCTGAAAGGCTCTACCTAAAGGGGATGAGACTAACCGACGACTGGACAAAGAAGGGATTGAAAGACAGAGAGAACCCGAAGGCCAAGGAGATGTTGGATCGGATAGCCAGGGTAGGCTGGCAGAGATCATTTGGGGATTCGAGGCTTTTAGACGGCAAACCGTGCGGAGACAGCAGTGTGTGATGTGGTGCGTCGTGCTGGAGGAGTACTGCCACGGATGAGAGAGGGTGGAGTGAAAGAGACAGAAACAAGGAGAGCCGTTTATGCTTTGGATGAGAAATTTGCGGAATGGAGTCCGCAGGTAGCGTTTTTGCTTGCTCTCTCTCCCTCACTCTCTCTCTCGCTCTCTCGCCTATGATAATTCTATATTTTCAGGCTCGTGCCCTCCTTGATACCTCGGTAGTAGATGTAGATGCTCTTCGATCTCAGTCGACCTCAATATGTGAATGGTGTGATTTGGTTGAGGGAGAGATTTGTTCTCTCATCCACTGGACAGATATCGATACCATACAAGAACATAAAGATAAGGTAAGCTCAAGAAAGAATTTCTCTATCTCTATCTTTCGCTCGCCCTCTCTCTCTCTCTCTCTCTTTCTCTCTCTCTCTCTCTCTCTCTCTCACTCTCTCTTAAAACTTTCTATTCGCGGTCTTCATCCCTCAAAAGACCTAATTACCATATATTCCTCTTTTTTTTAGTCCGAAAAACGACTCGCCGAACTCGCTGATCATCGCCAGACCCTGAGCCAACTTGAGCAGGGCAAAGACCGCCTCGTCCTGATGCATACTGTAGAGATGCATGTCAAACACGACGTCCGAAGGCTCGTCTCACAGGCCGCACAACGCATCGCTGATGTAAGTCGACATTTTTGGCCTGAATGAGCCTTTAAAAGGGACTGAAGAGACATGGCTTGCTGGCGCCTTTAAAAAGAAATTTTTGACTTGCTGAGGCAGGCTTTGGAAAGGTCATGCTCAACATCTGGTAGGGAGAGAGAGAGAGCGAGCGAGGATACAGATATTTTAAGGTCCCCCGACAGAAATTTGAGTAATCGTCCCCCCAACAACGACTTTTCTCTGGAGTCAATGGAATATCCAGAAGGTGTAATATTGCCCCCCTAGCCATTGGTTGTGTGCCATCAAAAGCTCTAGAGGCAGCTGACCCCTCTCTATCCTTCCCCCCCTCAATTGACCCCTCGAATATTCTAATCACCAGCCCCAGCCCTATTGGATCGATTCACGCGTTTTTCATTTAGTTGGCTCAAAAACAGCTCTAAACTTGATTTTTTCAGAGCTTAGGAATAATTTCAATCACATTTTAGGTACTGAGCTGTTAGACCTAATTTTTTAGTTACAGTATTTTTAGTAGTTTTTGATTGATAGAAAGTTTTTGGAATTTTTTTGCTGGGTAGGGGCCGTACGGGATTATTTGGAAAAATTAGCCCCCTCCCGCTAATAGTCAAGTCCCTATTCTTTGCGTTCCAAATGCATTCAACTTGGAAGTCGGAAATCGATATTTTCTGGTATCTTTTATGGAAATTTGTATTTTGTAGTTTTTGCGTTTAGAATAGCAAAAAAAGTTTAAAATTGGTCTAAAAAGTATTAGAAGAATTGGTCCCTTGGAACAAAAGTGGCCTATAACCCTAAATCCAAACCCTAATTTCCAGATTCGCTCCGATATCGCGGATCGATCACGATCATTAGACGAAATGAGACTCCGAGCAGAGGAAATGTGGCGAGAAGTGGATCGAGTGGAAGAAATGGCAAAAGAAATCGAGAGAAGGGTCGAAGCTGCGAGGGATGCTGTTATTTATACACCATCGAGGGATACGGCTATGGCTGTTAAGGTAGACTGGCAGGGATTATTGGGGAATTAATGGAGGACCCCAATTGAGTGTGGAAAATCGAGACTAGCAGGGATCCTTGGGGGATTTGAAATTGAAAGATTACGCCATGAAATTCAGTAGTTCATTCAGTGCTAGCATGGATTCTTGAGGAATTCTGGAAACTAGGGTAGGCTAGCAGGGTTTATTTAGGAAAACTGCGACGTCAACTGGATGGGTATGCTAGCAGAGACCATTTTGGAACTAAATTTCAATCGATTATGCCATGGGATTCGGTCACAGCGATAATTTAAGAGCGTGGACAGCTAGCAGAGATTCTTTAGGAGAAGGCAGGTTAGCAGAGATTCTTTAGGAATCTTTATCCAGGGAGGAGTCACCAGCAGTTATTTTTAAGACCGAGTACGGCAAGCTAACAGGGATTTTTGAGGAATTCAGGCAACTGTAGGGTAGGCTAGCAAAGATTCTTTGAGCAACTAGCAGAGACCATTTGAGAATATTCAAATTTTATTGATTCCAGAGCGACGCCGCAGACCTTCGAATGGCGGCCAGCAAACTCGAGAAAATCCTGGCAAATGCCGAGAAGGACAAACCCGTCATTCCCGAAAAGCAGAAAAAGGTGAGAAATTTGGTTTTTCACGAATATTTTTATATCGAACATTCTGAAAATTTCCAGTTTTGTGCGCTTTTAAGCCGTTTTAAATCAGACTTTTTATTTTTAAGAAGATTTAATATCATCAATTCAAAGCGAAAAAAAATCGAAATTTCCGCTTTTCAGAAAATCACGGCCGTAATCTCGATCTCCCGAAACGCGGCCGCCTCCGCCGATTCATTGGTGTTGCGTGATAGTGTGAGTCTAACCATTTGGGGATACGGTATGATGGTCAAAATTTAGTCTGCCACCCAAGAATCCTCGGAAATGAGTCTCTCCACAGTCATCGAAGTTTCCGAGCGCTCCGAGTTGACGCCGGTGCCGAGGAGGACAGCTAGTGCTCTGTCTGCGGAAGGTGAGCACGAGTTTTAATATACAGCTTGGCATGCGTGTCGCGGCGTAGGTGCTAGTAGATTCAGAGAGAGAGAGAGAGAGAGAGAGAGAGAGAGAGAGAGAGAGCGCGCGTGAGTGAGAGCGAGAGAGAGAGGGGTAGAGAGATAAAGAGCGAGAGAGAGAACGAGAGCGAGAGAGAGAGAGCGCGCGTGGGTAAAGCGAGAGAGGGAGGGGGAGAGAGATAAAGAGCGAGAGAGAGAACGAGAGCGAGAGAGAGAGAGAGAGAGAGATAGAGAGAGAGGGCGCGCGTGGGTAAAGCGAGAGAGGGAGGGGGAGAGAGATAAAGAGCGAGAGAGCGAGAGAGCGAGCGAGCAGCGGAGAAGTTCTGAATATTCCAAGCTTAAGAAAGTTCTTTTCCCTTCTGTCAAGCTCCCCAATCCCTATAAACCCTCCGTAAGTTACCCACATACCGTCGTTCGTGCTCAGCCGTGTGTATTGCAGTTCGTGCTCAATTTCAACCCTTAATTCTATCATTTTTCAGGTACTCTAGAGCCGTCGGATCGTGTCGAATCTGTCCATGATGAGGTACACACTTCAGATGAAGAGAGTACAGAACCACGCACAAGATCTTCCATTAATGGACCGCCGCTGCCGGATCATGTAAGATTTGGTTTAAAGGGACCGAGAAGGAAAAATCATAGGAAATCAAGGATGGGGGGGAATTCGTAAAGAATCTTTGCTAGTTTTCACGAATTCTCAACGAATCCCTGCTAGCTCATCATTTTCAGGGTCAAGGCCCGCTATCTCCACGCGATGAAAAAGCTTGGCAACAGCTTCAACAGCTTAGCCTGTGGCTTGGCGAAATTGAGAGGGACGCTGCACAACCTGTCGATCTTGCAAAACATCAACAGATTAGGGACCAGATTAATACATTACAGGTAGATTATCTCTCTCTCTCTCTCTTTTTCTCTCTTTCTCTCTCTCTCTCTCTCTGACTCCCTCATTTTCAGAACGTCTGGGAGGAGCTACGTCAACGCCAACTTGAGCCAATCCATATCTCGGACACCGCAGCCACTCCTAGAGTCAAATCTAGAGCCAACGATCTGTGCCAAGCAGTGGAAAGAGTGGCTGTAGCTGCTCAAAAACGAAAGGGACAACTTCAGAGGGCTGCCGACATGGCCAAGACGTTCGATCAACACAGAGAGGATGTTGATCTGTGGATGGGGGCTGCGGAGGAGGATATTGGTAAGTGGAGGAAGAGAGAGAGAGAGAGAGAGAGAGAGAGAGAGAGAGAGAGAGAGGCGGAGCGAAAGAGTAATAAAAAAAATCACGATTTTTAGGAGATCGAGCCCCGATGGAAACAAATGAAGAAATGGTCCGGGCTGAACTTGCCCGAGTTGAGGCCATCCTAGAGGCAATGCCCGAGCATCGGCAGCATATGCACGAATTGAATGTGAAGGTAGGCAGGCTAGCAGAGATTCTTTTGGATCTTCTAAAACACGCCTATTTCCAGGGAAATTCCCTTCTTGATGAATATCCCCGTGATGAGGCGCATAATCTCTCTCATCTGCTCTCCCGTATGAATATGCGATGGACACAATTCAACGATAAGTAAGTCCAACTTCGCAGCCTAGCAGCGATCATTGAGGAAAAAATTTTATAATTCTATTTTGTACATTTTTCAGCGTCCGTATCCGCCGCGCAGCCCTGGAGGCCTCCCTGCGGTCCCGCAGCGATTTCCACTCGGCATTGGCTGAGGTTGAGGAATGGCTGCAGAGAGTGACGCATAGTCTACAGGTACCGTAATCCGGGGTACGGTAGATGAAATGCGTTTTAGAAATTGGATCGGAAGACGGGGAATACGCAGTCGTTGAAGGATACGCAGAGGAGAAGAGAGTGGATGCAGGCGGAAAAGGTGAGAGAGAGAGAGCGTGAGGTGAGACAGAGAGACAGAGACAGAGAGAGAAAGAGAGAGAGAGAGAGAGAGAGAGAGAGAGAGAGAGAGTCGTCACCCCTTTAATGGCCCATTAAGGCCTTCCTCCTTTAGAATCTTGGCCACGAAATCGATGCCCACGTTGAAGTGGTACGATCGGTAGATGAGATGGGCAAGAAAATACTTGGCGGGCTTGATGCCGGCAAGGATAAGCAGGTAGACACCAATCCCAAAAAATTCTAAATCTCCGGCTTCCCAATCCCATTAAACCCTCAAAAACTTTTCCAGACGATGGAGGAGCGCCTAAACGACCTGCAGCAGCATTGGCAAGGCGTACAGCAGCTGCAGACGGCAATTAAGTGAGTTATGGTTCTTTAGAAAAATCCCAACTCTTTTTCTAGAAAACGACTAGCCGACGCGGAAGAGGAGTGGGAGAAGCTGACGAAAAGCCTCGCCGAGCTCATCCACTGGACCGAGAACAAGAGCAAGCAGGTAAGTAGCATTTTATTGAGGGCATTCTTACACTTTTTTAGTTGCTCGCCCAACAACCCGTGGGCGGCTCGCTGTCGTCGGTTCTCGCCCAGGGGGCATTTGTCAAAGGAGTCGAGAGGTACGTTGCCGAGACCATTTGGGAATTGAGAGAGGGAGGGCAGGCTAGCAAAGACCATTTTTTAGGGCTATAAACCCTGAATTCTTTCAGAGAAATCGAAGCAAAAAGCGGGCTTGTCAAGGAGGTTGTCGGTTCAGCCCATTCCTATTTGATGCAACACGATCTCCGCCCAAGAATGTACAAACCTGGCGTGTTAGAAGATGGGGGCGAACATCTTGGAGACGGTCAGATTTTAAGCTACACAAAATGTTTTTGAAAATTCTAAATCAAACCTAAACACGCGAACTAAACGTGAAACTCCAAAAGGCTTTCCGGCGTCTTTTGGAGCGCCTCGGAAAACCGATATTCCCATAGTAAAAGTTGGCGAAAAGCCGGCCGCTTTTGCGAGGCGTTGATTGCCCAACAAAGTTATACTCGCACACCATTTCGCCTAAAAGCAAGAAGGCTACACAACGCTCCTATTCACGCTGTAAAAAGCAAGCTAAAACCACTGTTTTTTCTATTTAAACATTTCAGAAAAAGACATGGAAGAGCGGCGATATGGCCTTCAAATCCACGCCGACTGCGAGCGGCTAAAGGCAAGTTTTTTTGGATTTTCTGGAAAAAAACTGTTTTAAAAATACAGCATAGACACGAATGTATAATGTATCAAATGGACCATATCTTAGGAGAAATGGGCCGAGCTGGGCGGGCAGAACACCGACTGGGGCAAGGTGGTCGCCGGCGCCGCTCAACGGCTGCAAGAACTCGAACGGGCGCTAGCTGAATGTCAGCTACATCTCAGGTACGGGATTCGGGCGTCATTTGGGGTTCTCTCAAGTAGCTCGGCGTATTTTCGCGTAGCTTTCCATGTATTGCAACGTATTTCGAGTAATAAAGCGTATTTTTACCCGCTGTTTCGATGTATCTACACGTAGCCTCGCGTAATTAGGTGTGTTTAGTATTGCCGAGTAGCTAACCACGGGGTTTTGCCGTCATTGCGCGTAGCCCCGCGTAGCCAAGCTGTTATTATGCGTCATTATGCGTATTCTCGCGCAGTTAGACGTGTTCTAAAGCTACTAACGCTATCTAGCCTCTTTACGCCGCGTAATGATGTAATTTTCGGATCCCCTGTATTTTTGCGTATTTTTTCAGTCATTAAGTGATTCACGAGCTCTTAAAGGTGATGTCTTTCATAAAATAAATCACCCATTTTCAGTTCTGTGGAGCAAGAGCTCGAAACGGCACAAACCGTCGAGAATCTGAGGTTGGAAGAGTTGAAGAAGGCGCGTGCCGAAGTCGAGGGAATGTCGGACAGGGTTGATCAGCTACGGTAGGCTACAAAGTACACTTTTATACCCTTGACTTTTAGCGTCCACCTCGATGATGCGAACGACGCATGCGGGCGAATCCTGGCCGCAGATATGCCCCTCGACGCGCACCCGAAAAATCAGCTGGACGCGGTCAATCAGAGGTAATTTTAGGTTCTTTGGCATTAGCGGGGGCGGGCAGTTTTTTCATACATATCCATTTTTTCTAATATAATTTACTATTCGTAAAATTTACACTGTTTTTATTCGAAAACAAAAAGTATCGATTTTCGAAAAAAAAACGAAAAATTCGGCTAACTTTTCGAATGTTTAGAAATTTATTAACCTTCTAGGTAGTTTTTAGCTATTATTTTACATTAAACTATAAATCATATTTTTACAGATTCGGCGCCGTGAAGGCGTCAGTCCGTGTGCGCGCTGCCGCGCTGCGAAACGCTCTGAGCGATTTCGGGCCCTCATCCGAGCATTTCCTGAACCATTCCGTGACACTACCCTGGCAACGGGCCATCAGCAAGACCAACCAACTACCGTATTACATCGAGTGAGCGTTGGGTCGATGTTTTTCGTATTTGCGTCATATTCCGGCGTGGCTAAACGTATTATGACGTAGCCATACCCGTATGCTAGCGTAGCGACGCGTACTTCAGCATATTTGGCGCCAGTAGGAGTATTTTTAAGGGGCAATTAGGTGTACTATGGTATTGATTGAGCGTACTTTGAAGTAGCTGTACGTATTCTCTCGTATCTAGATGCGTATTTACACGTAGGCGGACGTGTATTATCTGTAACTAAGCGTATTCTCTCGTAGCTAAGCGTACTTTAGCGGAATTTGCGGGTATTCTCGCCTAGCTAGACGTACTTTAACGGCGTTAAGCAACACAAAGAAAGCTAAACCCGAAAAATCATCACTTCTTTTCAGTCACAACACCGAACACACCCAATGGGAACATCCGGTGTGGGTGGAGATGGCCAAGGAGCTCAACTCGTTCAACCGGTACATTTTCCGGCTAGTTTTTCAAAACTAATACCTTTTTCAGGGTCAAATTTATCGCGTATCGCTGTGCGATGAAGCTGCGTGCCCTTCAGAAGCGTCTATGCCTGGATTTGGTGTCCATGCAAATGTTGGAAAAGGTTAGAAACCCTGGGCTGGTACCAAAATGGAAAGTATGGGTACCCATAATAGGTACCCATACAAAATCTATGGGTACCCATACGAAAACTACGGGTACCTATACAAAATTCTATGGCCACCCATGAAATTTCTATGGGATGCTTTACAAAATTTATGTGTACCCATTAACGACCAGTTGTAAGGCCGAACCGCCATGTAGCGTATCTTCCAGACCTTTCGGGAGCTTCCGAATCTGTTGTAAGTGTTGCGCGCGATCACCGGGAGCATCGGCATCCATTTAGAACCCCCACCCGAGTCAATTTTGCAAACTGTTGCGGTCATTTTGCGGAACCAAGTTGCCGTGCTGGAAATTTTGATAATGCCATTCGAAGGAACTTTGAAAACTATGCTAGTGTTTTGGTGACCCAATCCCCCAATTGAATTCAATTGATCTTCGTGAAAGCTTGAAATCGGTTTAATTAAAATCCGCAAAACTATCGGGATAGGGGCGAGGAATCAAACTCGCGTCATGAGCACAACAATCAAACAGCAAACCGTTGAGCTAGAATTTTTTGTTAAAAAAGTATGGGACCCATACATTTTTGATGGGTACCCATTAACAATCGTTCGCAAAGATTTTTTCCTAAGTCCCGGCTATACCTGATGAAGTCCACTATTTCTGTTGATGGGTACCCATACAAAGATAATTTGAAAACACCCCCTAATTCAGTTTGTAAGGGTACCCATACAATCTTTCAAGGGCTTTTTCGGCTCTCTTAGGCCACCTTTTCCAGCGTAGCTTCTATAGACCATCTACTTCCGGCCGCGGGGAATCCGAAATAGAAAAAATCTTATTGATAGGTCATAATGCCGAATTTCTATAGACCTTTAAAGGTTTTGAGAAGTATGACCCCTTGAAAAAGTTTTGTGAAAATGGCATTTTTAGGGGTACGCATACAATTTGTATAGGTACTCCTACTATTTGTATGCCAACCTATAGATTTTGAATAGGTGCCTATAGAATTTGTATGGGATGCCATTGATTTTCCACGGCTTGTATCTCAAAATTTGACCACTATTATTGTGGTATAAGCGGTTTCATTAGAAAGAGCATGTCCGACTGCCCGGCTTAACGACGTTTTTCGATAGTTCTAAGCATCGGGAACCAATTTTGGCACCTGCAAAGTATCCCTGTTCCTGGACCCTATTGCTACCTATAGAATTTGTATGGGTACTCATAGAAAATGTATGGGTACTCATAGATTTTGTATGGGTACCCATCAGGCAAAAATTATCGTTTTGGTACCAGCCCTGAATTTTTAATCATTTTTCCAGGCATTCGCCCGTCTCGAGGGTCTCTCCAACGAGGAATGCCCGCAACTCGAGGGTATGGTCTGCTCGCTGTTGCCCCTCTTCGAGACGCTTCACCAGCAACATCCCGGTCTCGTCAAGGTCAGAACAGATCCATTTTAAATGTAAAAAATAGAAGAAAACGAGGTCGATAATCGGATGGTTTTATTTTTATAAGTTTTCCGGATCTTACGTTAAGACCGCAAAAAAATTTTCCAGTCAGTCGCGTTGGCCGTGGACTTGTGCATCAACTTCCTGCTGAACCTGTTCGACCCGTCGCGTGATGGTCTCCTTCGGGTGCTCTCCTTCAAGGTGGCCCTGATCGTCTTCTGCAACGCCCCACTGGAGGACAAGTATCGTGGTGGGTGCTTGAGGCCATTTTGGACCAAATCGGTTCTTTCGCATTATCGGGGGGGCAATTTTTTCTGAGGATCTAATTGTCGAATATAAATAAGACAAGTTTTTAATGGAAAGGCTAGATAAATTTTTATTAAAAGTATTGTTTTGGAACTTTTTGGGATAGTTTTCCATTTTGAACAAAGATAGGTTTTGCGAATCTTTTTAGGTTTCGGTCTGACCCCCCCGATAATGCAAAAGAACCGCCAAACCTTATATATCTTATTCTCAAAAGTTTCCTTCTTTTAGCACTCTTCGAACTGGTCGCACAAGAGGGCCAGGCGGATCAGAAACACGTCGCCTTGTTGTTCTACGATCTCATCCATGTAAGTTATTCTCAAGGAAGTTTTGATAGGCTTTTAAAGCTATAATTTTTATCATTTAAACCTTTATTTCTATTTTTTGTAGATCCCAAAGCTCGTCGGAGAAGCAGCAGCTTTTGGCGGGTCTAACGTCGAGCCCTCCGTGCGTTCATGCTTCGAAACGGTGAAACTCACTTCGCATATCCAGGTTGGGTTTATTAAACGATTTACTATAGTGATAGTACGAAATAGTGATAAGCCTAATTAAATTAATGCATAAAGGATGCATCGTTAAACTTCTATTTTCCAGTTACCTCCATTCCTGGAATGGCTCAAGAAAGAGCCACAATCCATCGTCTGGCTCCCCGTGATGCATCGACTGGCCACTGCCGAGTTTTCGAAACATCAGGTATCAGCTTTTTGGCGCTATTGCATTATCGGGGGGGGGAGGGAGTTAGCGAGGAATTTGTCGGGATCCAGTTTTCCAATATTATTTTTAAACCTTTTTTGATTATTCCTAAAAGCAAAAAAATCGATTTTCTACTAAAATGTTCTAAGTTTTTTATTGATTTCAACTCGAAATATAGAAAAATCACTAAAAACAATCTTAAAATACTCAATATCTTAGTTACCTTAACCAAGTAATAAGAATAATCATTTCTATCCAAAAATACAAAAAAAAAATCGATTTTTCGGCAAAACTAGCCGAGTAACGGCAAAATTTCGGCTGAAAAATGTTTCTGTTTTTAATTTTTTCCCACTTAAAATATAGTTACATTCTACTAAAACACTATTAAAAAACTTACCATTACGTTACTAGGAATTTCTGGAATTATAGGAAAGATTCTGATAAACACCATCCCCCCCGTTAGTACACAAGCACCCATCTTTTCTATAATTCTGTTGTTTATCCAATCTCATCTTTAGGCGAAATGCAACGTGTGCAAAATGTTCCCAATCGTGGGTCTCCGCTACCGCTGTCTGCACTGCTTCAACTTTGACATGTGCCAGAATTGCTTCTTCTCACAGAGAACCAGCAAAAAATCACAAGCTACGCCACCCCATGCAGGAATACAGTGTGCCGGTCTGTTTTTAGGATTTAGTCCGTTTTAATTCTTGCTATTTCTTTTTATTGTTGGAAATTTAGACGACATCCGGTGAAGACGTGCGTGACTTCGCGCATATGCTGCGGAATAAGCTGGGGAAACGGCGGAAAACCATCGGATATTTGCCGGTTGATGTAAGTTGCAGTGTGTAGTTTTAGATTTTGGGTTTTTGCACCGGGTTTTTTGGTGGTTGGAAGTGTTTTAGAGGTTCAAAATGACGATCTAAAGCTTGTAACGCTAGAAACGCTTTTTACATTGATGTTTATTTGGCTTTTTATCGTTTAAAATGTACTTTTCGGTTCTATCGCACCATCGGGGGAGGATATAAGTCCAGAAATCCCTAGTAATGTAGTTTAATAGTGTTTTTCGTAAAATTTAACGATATTTCAAATGAAAAACCAACCCAGAAAAATTGTAAAAATGTCTCGCAACTTCATAGTCAATATTTTGACGGTGTTTTGAATAAAATTTATTTTTGAACTTAACTCGAGTGGAAAAACCAATAAATAACAAAAAAAATTTAAGCGGATTTTTGCTCGAAAAATCTTTACTTTTGTTTTTTCGTTTTCTTTTTTAGTTTTATCTATAAGTTTCCCCCCTGATAATGCAAAAGGACCCGCTTTTCAGTCAAACGACAGTTTCAGCTTTAAAAATTTCACTTTGGCATCACTTTGGGGTTTTTTAGGTGGGGGAAGAGGGCCGACCGCTAGCCACGGCTGCACCCGCCGCACACAACCCACACACGGCACCCGTTCACTCCAGAATCGCCGCCTGCGCCCAGCGAATTGCCCACCTCACACAGGTTAACATTTCTACATTGTATTTATCACGTTTTGCGTGCCATTATTGCTAAAATGACGGAATATAAAAAACTAACATCTTTTTCTAGAACGAGGCCGCCGAGCCACGCGAAGAAATGGTGACGTCGGATGTGAAGAGCCCGTTGCAGCTCATCTCGCAGGTATCTTGTGATATTTTTAAGAAACTCCGGCAATACCGACAGCCAAAAAACCGAAGGTACGAAATCTGGAGGCCAAAATACCGATAGACTAAAATGACAGTTAAAATCTAAAACAACAAAAATTCTTAAAAACAAGCTGCATCCTAAGTAGGAATGCGCGCCGAAATCTCGACAAAAACAGACCGTAAGTTCAAAATACCGATGGATTTAATCTCGACATGTAAAATCCCTGTCTAAAAGCAAGTAGAATTTAACTAGGAATTCTGGCGATAATCCAGACATTAAAACTCCCGACAGGCCAAAAATACGGATAGGCGAAAATACCGACAGCCATAACCCCCGACATGCAAAATCGCTGGGAAAGGCAATTAGCATTTAACTAGGAATTTTGGTCATAATCCCGACAGCCAAAATCCCGACAATCGGAAATTCCTACAGACCAAATCCCGACAACCAAATTCTGGAATTCCGGCACGGCAAAAATCCCGAAATCCAAAATGTGGGCAGGCCAAAATACCGACATTCAATAGCGACATCGAAATCTCTAACAAAACAACATTTTCCCCCACGATCCCTGCTAGCCTGCCCGCTCCCGATGGGTGGAGATTATTTGCAATCCCCCGGCTCGATTCCCCTGCAAATGAGTGGGATTGTGATGTGACCTTGGATGGGGATATAGTCCCCATTCCTGTTGTCAATCTGTCCGTCTGTCTGTCTTTCCATTCCCCCAATCAACCCCCAACAAATAATGGATATATTCACCCAAGAACTGCTCGATTCCAATCTTGAACAATTCGACCGCCACTATGCCACCACGCCGCCCAAATATTGCAGGGTAAAATTGGGAACAAAATTTCCTCAAGGATTCCTGCCAGCCTAGGACGAAAAAACAAATACTTTTGATTGCTCAAAGAATCATATAAAAAATTTAGAAAGACTTTCAAAGTTTCAGATATTTTTGACCAAAAATTAGCATTTATCGAAAATTTAAGTTATTTTTATTAACTTTCTATACCTGAAAAACGCGGCAAAAAAAAGTATAAAAATGGTGTTTATTGCATGATTATATTAAGAGCCCCTCCCCGCTAAGAGTCCCACCCTTAAATCAAAAATTTCCAGGTGGACCAGATGCAAAAGGACGAACTCGATCAACTGTTACAACGGCTACAGCTCGAGAATGTCGAGTTGAGGAGAGAGCTGGAGAAGAAGAAAGTGGCCGTACAAAGCACTCCGGATCTCGACAGATCTGGGTACGGTGCCGGCACAATGCCAAGGCATCGAGACGGAGGGCTTCGTGGCGGCACCCTGCCTCGACTTGGCACTCAAGCTGGCACTCACGGACGATCTGTACCCTCACTTCACACCGCCAAAAGCACCAATGACATTGGGGTAAGTCAAATGGGACCCGAAGTGGGCCCGATTTTTTTCTATCGAGGCAGGCTGGCTTAGTCTTTTAAATAAAGTGTTTTTCATTAGATACAACTGTATATGACGTAACAAAACTCTTACAAAACTGAGAAACGATAAAATAAAACGTTTTTACACGTATTAATCAACTTTAGCTATGTCCAAAAGTAGAAAATCCTTTAGAAAACCGACAAAAATTTCAAATATAGGTCTTTTTTGCCGGAAAAATCGATTTTCAATACGAACTATTATCTACTTTTAATAAACCGGGAGTACCCTCTCCGGATTCTAAAAAAACCCTAACCCAACACTACTCTAGGTCGCCGAAGAAGCGAAAGCCCTCCGACTCCACAAGCAACGCCTCGAGCACCGATCCCGGATTCTAGAGCAGCAGAACACCCAGCTCGAGATGCAGCTGCAGCGGCTGAAGAAAATGATTGAGCAGGTACCACAGCGCCAGCAACCAAAAAAAGCCGCATTTTAGCAACGAGACTCGACCTCCCGATTGCCGTCGATGTCGGCCGAGCGAGACTGGGGTCAGACGCTCTCTTACAATGGCGATCGGTCTGACTACGCGGCACCGGTGAATGGAAATGGTGGGTGATGAACAGAACAGATAGCGAGATAAGCAAACGAATTCTTGGCAAGGGAATTTAGCTTGTACGATCCAATCCAATTTTTAAAATTTGTAAAAAGGAGAATTACAGCTTGTCTACAGAAAAACTCGGTGCCGGGTCGAAAGACCGCGGTCTACTGGGGTGTAATAGACGGTAGAAGTTCAACGAACCATTCTAGGCCATCTACACGGTCCGGCGTCGAATGATTGGGAAAGCGACGCAGAGAATCAAGATGCTACCGGGTTGGGCCGAGGGCCCGACCGGATGCACTCTCTTCTAGCTACTGTTGATGACCTCGGAAGGTTCGTAACATCACAACTAAAGATAGCTCTAAAAGCACTAAACTACTAAAAAGTCGTAAACACTTCATATCCGCAGTTAAATTTATCAAAAACTCTTTCAGAGCGATGGAGTCCCTCGTTGTATCCGTGGTCTGCGAAAGCGACAACGAGCGATAGTAGACAATGATGACTTTTTAGCGAAATTCCACAGCTCACATTATACCTCGATTGTTCTTTTCGTATAATAACCCTTCGGGACCGTAGTCATGCGGGGCACCGATTCAAATCTGTGCCTTCTTTTTAACTTATTCCCATTGCAATGCCGCGCGTTTCGCCGGCCATTCATTTGTGATATTTTGCCATAACAAATTGATACACCAGAGATGCCATAATAAAAGGTATATATTTCTGTGGCTTGAAACGCAGCGAACAATGGGCGCCAAACAGTACAAATGTTTATTGGTAACGAGTATAGACTTAATCTTTGTACATGAGGGAATGAGCTTATTTCGCCGTCGTCGACTTCATCGTGGCTGCAGAGGGTACTGGCTTCAACCTAAAAAAATAAAGATCAGATCAAACAATGAAAAAGTGCAACCTTTTCGAGTCGGCATTCCGGTTCCGTCGCAGAAAGCCCCACCAGGCGGTTTGCCTAAAAAATGGATAATCTCGGGTGGCGCGAAAAATTTACTCGTTCTTTGTCGGCTTGATGAAGGTGCGGCCGTTGAAGCTGAAATTCATCATTGGTGTTTTTCGAAAAGCGGCCACCATTTTTTGAGCTGGCCAAACGACGGGCGTGCCTCATGCTCGGTGATAAAGGTGGCCTCTAGCAGTTGGGCAACATGCTTCGGAGTTCCGGTGGGGGCTTGGAGGCGTAGATTCTCGTAGAGGACACCCTGTTTCACCGCTTTCAGAGCCTGTCAAGGAAAATGGGGAATTTGGGGATTGGAATTACTTTGATCTGCTCGTAGGGGGAGCGGCCACCGCTGTAGATCTCCCACACCGTCACACCAAATGCCCACACGTCGCTTTTGGCGGAAAAGAGGCCTCGAAGCATCGTTTCCGGCGCCAGCCATCTGCAAGAAAGAAAAAATTATGTACAAAGAAAAATTCGAACCTTATTGGCACTTTGGTCATCTTCTGCACCTGGTGCACGCTGCCCTTCACCGAAAGTCCAAAATCGCTGATCTTGACCGTGTCGGCGCCGTCGAGGAGAATGTTCCGGGCTGCCAGGTCACGATGGATAATCTAAAAAAAACAACTTTATCTCATGAATCTGCCGGGCCAGACCTCGATCCTCTCCAGATATTCCATGCCGTGCAGAATTTCCAGCGAGTAGCGGGCACGAGTCTTCTGGGCCATCGTCGGCTTCTCGCGCAGCTTGCTGAGCAGGGAGCCGCCTGGAGAACAACAAAATACTTTTTAAGCCAGCGTTAGGGTACCTCACCTGGCGCAATCTCCATGACAATCATAATCGGGTCCTTGAGAGCGGCGATGCCGAACAGTTGGATGATGTATTTGTGGTGAAGGCTGAGCATCACGTTCGCCTCGTGCAGGAATTCGGCGCTGGTTGCAGCGTAATTTCCGGTTCGTGAAGCTCTTACTTATCAGCAGGCTTGGCCCCGTTGAGTTGCATCGTTTTGATGGCACAACGGCTGCCAGGAGCGAACAGACCTATTTGGCAATTTCCAAAAAAAGCGTTTTCCGACCTGGTTTGTAGATGCCGTCGTAGACTTCTCCAAATGCGCCCTTACCGAGAAATTTTCCCATGAACAACTAAAGAAAATCAGGATGAAAAAAACACCTTTATTTCTCACCTGCTCATGATCCAATTGCCAGGCTGCCCTTTCGATCGGTTTTCGAATCGTCAACGTTCCGTCTTCATCAATCGGATGGTCGGTTTTGCAGTGGAACTCGACGAGATCTTGTACGGTCTTCAAAAAAATATATATCCAAGAACGAACAAAATTACCGGAAGCAGATACTTTGTCATCCAGTACCAGTTGTGGTCTTTGTCATTCAGAATCCGGAGGTGGACAACGCGAGTCGTCTTGATTTTTTGGCCAATAACGGGCAGCCGCTGGCTCAAGCTGTTCAGATTCCTGGAAAAAGCAGGGGTTTTTTTCCTGTTAAAATAAAACCCATACTTTCTGATGGATGGAGGCGCCATTTGGCTAATGTTTGAAGCAGAGTCGCTGACCGAAAGAACGTAGCACTAAAATAACGAGTCCATATTAACGCATTTCCACTAATAACTTACATGATCTCCACTGACCAAATTAACTCGACGGACCAAAAACCGGCCTCTGCCCCGAGCTGAAACAATCTTCTCGCTGTCTTCTCGGTTCATATATCTAAAATTGCTTCAAAAAGACATAAATCCTGAAATACCCGTGATAATAGTCCTGTTGTTCAAGCGGAAGCTGATCTTTTGGATAGAACTAAATGGAGTCTAGCCTTCAAATGCATTCAGCTACGAATTCTGGGCTCCGCGGCACTTGGATCTTCGTCCGATTGTCGGCCATCAACTGACCGGTCAACAGATCGTCCTAAAATGAGGTAGAAGTCGTTATAATAGGTAAGAGTCTAGTTTACCCCCCAGCCCTAACTTTTCAACCATGCGTCCTATTAATGCGCCGAGTATCTCAAAATGTTCGCCGTGGTCGAATTACTATAGCCAAGTTGTTTTCTCACATCAAAAATTGTTAGAAAAAGTTTTACAAGATTTTGAAAGTTGAAAAGATTAAGCCGTCATGCTTCGATGTATCAGGAGCCTAAAACTCAAATATTTTTATTCGGGGGTAGCGGGCGTAGCCCGCTAACCCCTTTTGGTTTGAGGTACCCCCCCATACGACTTTTTTGGGGTCCTTTTCCGGATTTAAAAAAGAACCATGCATCGGATCGCGAAACTGAATACACCATCGGAACCGGCGACACTTTTTGCATACTATAAGCTTTTAAAAATTAAAAAAAAAGTTAAATTTCGAATTTTAACAGCCGATTTAAATTGCGTTTCGAGGGGGGGGGGTCTGCGTTTGTATGTGGGTATGCACGCAAAACCTTTGTAGTCGTCGAAAAGTGCCTTCCCATGGTCCGTTTGGGCTGAAATTTTCCACATATATTGGCTTGATGTAAATGAAGGTGAGGAAGAAGCGTTTTTTTCAAAATAGGCTTTTAAAAAATTTATATTTAATTTTTAAGTTTAAAAGCTAAATTGTGATAAAAACAAGGGTTAGTAATGTCCGTTTGGGCTGAAATTTTGCTCAAATATGCATTAAACCTTGCCGAACAAAGTAAAGAAGAAATTACATCGAAAGAATGCTTCTCCTTTAAGATATTTTAACTTTAAGCTTTCCCCATACGGGACGCCACCCTCCCCTTCCCCGGCCCCAGTCGGCAGACAGGGGGACGGGTCTAGCTCCCCCAACAGAGGCCTCCAGTCTCTCGGTTGGCCTAGTGGTTAGCACGCTTTACTGGGCAGACTTGACTCCCGAGTTCGAACCCCGCCCGCAACATCCTTTTTGCCGATTGGCCCGAATGCATCGTTAAGGTTTTTAGTACCGTTAAAAAGCGCCGCAGGCAAATTTTTTTGAAGTATTGCGTACAAGGGTTCATTTGAATAAATATCCCATGACTTATTCGATGATCTTAACAACAAAATTGAGGCAAAAAGGGCTAAATTCTCTCTAAGGCTAAAAAGAGTCTTTTCAAAAAAGGGCTTTTGGTTTTCGCAAAAAGAGATTAATTCTCGTGGCAACAAAAAGTGCTAAATTCCTTTCAAACTCTTAAAATGCCACAAAATGTGGGATCAACCAAAAGTTGCTGGCACCTTATTAAAATGGACAGATCCAGTTTCTAGCGGTTTCGGCTTGCAAATAATTTCTGTATTATGATCTATCTACACTTTCTTGAAATTAAACTGTGGACCTGACCTGTGATCTGGGATGGTACCGAGTTTATTAAGCTTTTAAATAGCAAGCAACTTTTTGTTGTTCCCGCATTTTGTGGCATTTTAAGAGTTTGAAAGGAATTTAGCACTTTTTGTTGCCACGAGAATTAATCTCTTTTTGCGAAAACCAAAAGCTTTTTTTTGAAAAGACTCTTTTTAGCCTTAGAGATTTCCGCTATTTTTTCGACTCAAATGCATTGTAGGCTGATTCTCCAGAGCAAGAGCTACATTTTGGTACTATTGACAGCTCTGTACGTCAAAAGATAGCCGAGATACGAAAACTCACTTTGGAACAGCAAAAATTAACCAAAGAAAACCCAGACTTATAATTGTTATAACAATTTTTCTAACAATTTTTGATGTAAGAAAACAACTTGGCTATAGTAATTCGACCACGGCGAACATTTTGAGATACTCGCCGCATTAATAGGACGCATGGTTGAAAAGTAACGGCTGGGGGGTAAACTAGACTTTAGCCGATTGTCGGCCATCAACTGACCGGTCAACAGATCGTCCTAAAATGAGGTAGAAGTCGTTATAATAATCCAAACCAAAGCCGTGTCCGACTGCGTCCGCTCCTCGGCCTCGTGCTCTACTTTACCGAGTATAATCATCTGGGAGGAGCGCGGCTCCTGGCCGCCGCTTCGCTCCAGCGAGTTCATAATCTAAAAACAATTCTAACGACGATCAAAAGCTAAATACCGTCGGGTTCGCGGGAGCCACCAGTTGTTCCAACTTTCCCTCCGCCATGGCCGGTCCCGGTTGTTGATCATCCTCGAGCCGTTGATACCGCGCAGCGTGGTACACCTAAATGAAAGTTATTTCTAAAAGATGGTGAAAAGAGTCTACCACTTCTCCCGGAGCTGTCACATACTGGCCGTCGGGGGTTGGTGGGACTAAAAGATTATTATCCAACAACGTAGCGAAACCCTACGCTCATTGGCGCGCCGGAAGCCGGCTGGACATTTACCGTTCGGTGAGCCGTCTGGTGTGACATTGATTGCGTTATTATCAGACTGAAACTACAAAATTGATAAAATTCAAAAAAACCCTCACTTCAAGCATAAATCGTTTTGTAAGTAGAAAATGTATAAAATGACGAAATATTGCGGCCAAAACTTCCTCTACTCGCAACTTGCAAATTTTGACTGAATGCTAAAAACAAAATGTAAAGTCCCCTTTTAATTCGCATCAAAAGCCCTTTCCCCAATTTCCTCATCAAGACCGCAAGATTGGAGCTGCAAGCTCCCCTAGATATTTGACGTCGGATAAAGCAAATATGCCGCACCACACACTTGAGACTTGGGGACACGAATGAAATTCACCAGCCCGTTATTCCCCCCCACATCAGTTCGTTTTCTTCTTTCTTCTCTATTTTTTTTTATAAATATTTCCTTTGAAACGTAGCGTGTTTGTAAGTCCGACTCTTTCCAGCTCCGTCAACAATTTATTCTTTAAAAACAAAACAGAACTTTTTACAAATAATAATTACATGGGGTTTTCGCCTAAAAAATGACTGACCATTAGAGGACACATAGAGACGTGAAAAGCGTAACAGTGTCGTCATCGGTCTCGATATGCAGTTGCTCCGGGCCCCTTGCGTAATCCAGCTTCATACGAGCGAAGGCAGCTTGGGCGACTAGGTAAGAACCGAGGCACATGAAGGAGAATTGGATGTGCACGATTTCCCGCTTGCCGTTAACCCATTCCGTCACAATATCGTCAATCAGCTTCAACAATTCAGGTAATTCAATCAGGGGTAGGCGTATCTGAAAGGGCAGGGATTAGAAAATTTAGTAATACTCCTGACCACCTTTATACCATTTTACATAATAAAATTTACCTGCATCGAGGGCACCTTGAGATGGCGCAACGTAGCAACTTCATCCCCAACGTAAGTCGCATGAAACTTTCGCAGGTTTTCGTTGCACGTGGCTAGGGCCTCTGGCCAGAAGCTCTCGTATTCGGCGTGCTTGACATCCAGCGACTGAGGCATAAAGCATTTTGCTGCCGAGGCCACAACGTCGATGCAGCCGATGGGACCAGTGTTGACCTTCAAGTTTCGGACTTCAAAACGATCTCTCCGGAAGTTTGAGGGCACGGGGCGACCCCGAAATTCGCAATATTCGAGCTTATCGATGACGCTATGGGCCAGCATCAGGTTGAGCAGCTTTTTGTTCTTCACGTGCGTGCAGCGCGGTCCATCCGTGAAAATCCAGAGTCCATCGCAGCGGCGTGTCACGTCTGACCATTGTTTGCTTCGGCATTCTGTCCCTGTGGCCATTAGAGCGCGGCTGCTCTAAAAATGGATTAAAAGCAAGGGTGTAGGAACGAACCGAGGATAAGTTTAGAAATCCTTGCGGAGCCAGCATCCTCATCACCTTATGTTGTATTTCGACGGGAAGATCGAGGAATTCCATCTTGTTGCAGGGAGGTTGCACCTGAAACTTTTCATATAACATCGAGGACAACCGCAAAAAGGACAATGGCAATAAACAAAGTAAGTAGCGGGGTCAGGATGGGTTCAGCTTACACTTTAGGCTTTCCGGTCAGTCCCCTCTAGCGTTCAAGTAGCCCCCGGCTGGCCAGGCGATTTTGCCCCGTCTGTCCGTTCGAAATTTACACTCTCGCCCGTGTCCGGTGAGGGCACACCTTGCACCAATTCCTTCTCCTACACATTCACTTTCTCTCGCTTCTATCGATTAGCAACTGCTGTTCTAAGCATGTGTCATTCTTAGAAGACGTCCGGAAGTTCAGCAGAACAAGATGCTAGAAGTTTTTAAATCGAAGCACGAGAAGCAGGTAATTTTTGTACGAATTTCTAAGAAATATTTAAAGAGATGAGGACGGCATCTGTTGAACCCCCCTTGGGGAGGGGGGGGTTCAACAGGTCCCGGCGATCTCGCGCGAGAGGGGCTCCCAGAGGAGAGGCGCAGAGACATTTTCTTTCCCTCGCGTAATCGATTGACTTATGCCGCCCCTATCTCTTTAAAAAGTAGCCACGAACGTTTGAGCGCATTTGGCCAAAATAAATGCCATCAAAGGTGAATGGCAATTTTCCCACCAAATCCTTGCAAGAACAATGTTAGAGCGCCGGGGTGATCGGGAAATGCGATAAGCAGGTGGAAAACAAGGAGGAAAGTGCGCACAAATACCGAAAAAAGGCCCCAGTCACATCGTTCATAAATTGTTTAGAGCTCGGAGAGTATCTCATCACAGACGTTCCTCACGAGAAAGAAACATTTTCGGGATACGGCAGAATGGAAGGCCAAAAAACGGAGAATCATCACGAAACTTCGGATAATGGGGAAGATCAACCTCGCGCTCGTATTGTCGCGATTACCGGTAGGTTTTTATCATATTTTGCAGCAAAGATAGAAATTTTGCACAAAAAAGAGTTTGAAAATCTAAACAGATTTCAACGAGTACGCATTGTACACCTTACAAACGTTGCAAATTGTAGCCATACGTAATACATTACGCTATGAATAGTTTTTTTGGGTTTTTATAAATTTTTAAAAAGTGTTTTAAAAACCTAAAAAATAACAAAATAGAGAGGAAAATGTGCTACCGCTTTGGTGCAGTTCCAAGGCTTGAACCTTCGACTAGTTATCCGCTCATCCCAGTTCCAATTGTATGCTCATCACCATGGCAAACTTTCGCTATCCGTTTTTAACCCAACATAGTTGAGAGCGGGGCCAATAACTATCGCCGAGGCTTTTGACAGCTTTCTATTTGTCGGGGGCGGCCACGCGCATCGGGTGGGCCCTTTTGTTCTTGGCGATCGGGGGGTTAATCCCCGATTTTTCGATCGTGTCGATCATGCATCGAGATGGGGCCAAAACCAAAGATTTCTGCAGCGCCCTATTTTTGTTTTTATTATACGGTGGGTACTGCTTTTAAAAAAAGGGATAATTTGGGGCGTTCTTGGTTGCATTTTTTGTGCATGGGTGGATTTTAGCTGTCTCAAAGTTTCCGGGGTTTTTCGGATCTGTACTTTTAGCGGGGTGAGGACAGACACTTTTTGTTTTTTTTCGCCTGTTGATGATGTATAATGTGGTAGTTTTTGTTGCTAGGAAGTAGTTAAGGTTTTTAAATGGTTTTTATTTCTAAAAACTATGTAAAATGTGATAAAAATGGTTTATATTTCGTTATAGGGCCGTAGATAAGTACTGGAAAAATCGGTTCCCCATGCTAACAGTCCAGAATCGCCTTTTCAAGTGCTTTTGAATATATATTTTTTGAAAGCCGTGTGGCAGATCCCTTGACTCGGCTCTAACCTCTACGCTATTCTTCGAGCCACGCTCCCCTCCGGGCTTTTCATATTACAGCGCGTGAAGCGAATGTGCCAGCTGACTCCTCGCATGTGTCTTCCGCACCCAACCCTCACCCAACACTTGTTCAAGCACAAACACCCCAGTCAGCCCTATCGATTCCGCATTGCTGATCCGTATCATTTGCACGATTCTGTGGATTCTATAACTGGGAAGACACTGATCATCTACTGCAATGACGGCCATCTTCGATATGACGCGTCGGGTGACGATGCAGGACCCCGGGTCGGATGAGAACTTTCGGAATTTTATCCTGGAAGAGGACGAGGGTGTTGAAGATGATACGTCGATGCATCGGCAGAATTCTCATCGGGAACATCATCGGAATGCGGTAATGGGGGCTAATATACTAACGGCACTATGGATTAACGAAGCTAAATGGAATTTAACAAAATCTAAGTTTTTCGGTATCTTTCGGGGTAAAAGAGGTGTTCAAAGACGTTATTAAATTGTTTTAACATCTTAACTTAGTAAATAAGTCAGAATATAAAGTCTTTAGAAAATGAAGTTACGTCAAATGAAATGTGGATCCATTTTAAAATCAAGATTTCTTGAACAAAACCACCTTTTCAGACGATCGACAAGCTGCCCGACAAAGTGCTCACCCATATCTTCTCCTACCTCCCCGCGCATCAGGTTTGAATAAAAAAACCTTAAGAAAACTTATATTTTTGCTCAGATGCTACGAAATCGGCAAGTGTGCAAACGTTGGAAACGCGTTGCCGACTCGCCGTCCCTCTGGAAATTCGTGTCGTTTCGGCCGAGTTACGGCGGGCTGATGGTGCAAAATCTCGACTATTTCACAGGGTTGATCGGGGCCCGTTTCAACGAATTGAAGATCACCGAATTGGCCACGGATCTGATTACGCCTTTCGTGCTTCATGAAATGGCCAACAAGTGTCCGAAGTTGCAGTATTTGACACTGGGTAAGTACTGGACTGTTGCGGGGGGACTCTTTTTTCGCCTATACTTGTGTGACGTCTGTGACTAAACGTGTTGACGAAATATATTTTTATCGTGCTTTTAATGGTTTTTGATTGCTAAAAATTTATAAAAAAATTAAAACATGTTGGAAAATGGTCAAATTTTTATCTTTTTTGGCGACTTTTCATTTATTTTTTACAAAATCAAAAAATTTTCCGAGTTTTTATCTATAGAAACTGTAGAAACTTCTATGAAAATCGTTTTATTTTATGAGCGGGCCGTGCGGCTTTACTTGAAAAAATTGGGCTACGGGCTCCCCCCTCGCTAACAGCCCAGTACCTAAATTTAAAGTTCAATTTTCAGATTTCTCCACCGCGATGCAACTGCACGACTTCACCGATCTCCAAAACTTCCCCTCCCGCCTCAAGGGACTCACCATTTGCCTTTCCGGTACGATTTACAACTATTTACGCGTATCCATGCTTTAGAAAACATTTTCCTCGAGGGTTTCCTCCGAAAAGTCTACACTTTCATCTCATCCGTCGAGATCCTTCATATCGTTGGTGGGTTTAATTTAAATAGAGTTTAATGATGAAACTAAAATAAGCTATTTACTCGATTTCAATATGTTTTTATATATTTATCATTTTAGGCACCTACGAAAAAGTGGAAGACGAGGAAGAAGAAGTGTACGAGACGGTGAACGTGCACAAATTGAAGCAATATTTGCCAAATCTTCGAGTTGTCAATTTGTGGGGGGTGAGGCTTTTTACATCTTTGAAAAGTGGATATGGTACTGGTCTGTTAGCGGGGGGTGACCATTTTCTTAAATAAACACTAAAAGATTATAGAAATATCAAAAATGTTTGACTTTATGAACTGTAGGAAAAATGACCAAAAAACGTCAAGATTTTCGAATGTTCACAGTTTTCAAATATTTTTTTTGAATTTTCTAGCGATAGAAACTATTTATAGCAATACCAACTCCAATAACCCCCCGTTAACGGTCCAGTACCGTGTTATTTTAGGTCCCTTTCATCACGGATGAGCATGTGGATGCGCTATCTTCAAATTGTGCTCTCCTGGAGTGCCTTTGCATTAATTATTGTGAAAAGGTAGGCCAGCAGAGATTATTTGGGATTCGAAAATGCTTTAGGTATCCGGGCATTGCCTGAAGCTTCTCCTGCAGCGATGCCGGAAGCTGAGGACCCTGTTTTTGGCGCATGCAAGTAAGCGGATTGGAATGTATGGATTTCCGGACGTTTTCAGGGCTCGACAACGCCACCCTCCAGGCTGTCGATTGGCAGAATACTCGCATCGAGGAGCTCGATATTAAAGGTATCGGCTGCATTTGTAGTAATTCTGCAGAATTTCTAAGATTTCCGAATGGTGCTTTGGCATTATCGGGGGGTTCACTTTTTATCTAAAAATACAAAAAAAAATTTTTCGGAAAAATTTTCCCGATTTTCGACCCAAATTTTTCAAATACATAGAGGAAGTGTTTCTGAGCTATTTTTTATTGTTACTAAGCGCAAAAACTTTAAAAATAGAATGAAAAAATACAAAAATATCGATTTTTCGACGAAAAATTGACGATCGACCAAAATTTCGAAAACTTTTACGTTTTTAGAAAGTTTTTCCACTTACATTAAGTTAATTTTTCCTATAAACACTATTAAAACACTTCCTATTACGTTGCTAGGCAGTTCTGGATTCAGATAAAAAAAATTAGGGCCCCCGATAACGGAAAAGAACGTAAAGCTGCGTTATTTGTAGTAGGAATTCAGCGGAATTTGGCGTATTTCGTATTTTAGGCACCGAGGTCAGCTCGGAGACGCTGATCTCCATCCTGACCCGATTGCCCAATCTGCGCTGGCTCGACGCCAGTTGGCTCGAGAATTTCAACGATGCGGTAAGACAAAGGATCTTTGCCAATTCCATCGGGGGTTTTTTTCAGGTGCTAGACGCGTGGATGAATTCTGGTGCTTGTAATAATATTCAATACCTTAACCTTGATACGTGTGATTCGTTAAATGAGCCGATGCTTTCCGGTACGCTCCTTTTTGCGTTACGTTACGTTTACGTTTTTTAACGGATTTTCTTTTTTATACAAATCGTTGCAGAATTCATTATGCGCCATGGGCAACAGCTGCGCGGGTTGAACCTTGGCGGTCACCATAAATTGCTCGAGTATTTTTGGATTAATATGATACCGCAGATGAAGGAGATCAAGTGGGTTGTTTTGAAAATTTCGGGTAATGGGCTGTTAGCGGGGGGGGGGCTTTTTAAAGGGCAAGCTACTTTTCTCTAGTAACTCCTTGCGGTCATACAACAAAATATAATCGCTTAAATTGCATTTTACACATTTTTCAGGTATCAAAAGCTCATAAAAATTTACAAAAATGTTCGGATAATCTTGAATATGAAAACGGCCAAAAAAGGGCAAGTCGTGGAATTCCAAAATTAAACAATCTTTTTTAAACTTTTAATTTAGCGTACCAGAATATACTTTATACTGTAAAGTTTGCCTTAAAGCGATTCTATGGAAAATTTTATTTTTAGCGTGCTTGTAATGGGTATCGCCGAGGACTGCTGCCCGAAAGTCACCGCAAAAATCCACGTTGACCAGTTTATAGGTAAGTTTTCTAGATTCTAAAAACTAAGTTTATTTCAGTTATCTAAAAACCAGTTCATTTTCAGATTGTATCGCCGGGAATTGCCCGAAATTGACGCGACTCGAGGTGCGATGGGACGACGATACGCTCCGCTTTTCCGACAAATCCAGGTGCGCAAGTCACTCCAAATCCTAGACATAGTTTCCGTTTTAAGGTCCAGGTATGTGTACTGTTTGGTAGTGTTCTTCTCTGCTGTCACTCCCTGCATGAGTATTCGCCCCCCTTTGTTGCCTGCTTTAGAAGATAGAAAGAAAGAGCACAGGGAGAATTTAATTATTATCAGCCAGAAGACCAATCGATTACGCCATAAAATTTGCAGTAAATTCATCGACGTGATGCGGTTGAAATGTTTGAAGTTGCACTCGATGGTGCTCTCCGACGGTCAATATTATGAATTGGTGCGCTCGAATTTTGAGCGAGCTGATCGGATGTCGGTCGTCAGGTACGGTAGTTCCGGATGTGTTTTAAAGGGACTATTAGTAATATTAATATATTCAATATATTTTTTTCCAACCAAAAAATAGTTTTTTGTAAACAGTGAAAGTGTTTCGAAACTATTTTTTTTTACTTTTGCTAAACGTAAAAACTTTACAAATAGTATTAAAAACCAGGGTTGAAAAGCCGCTTCGCGACTTTTCAACCCTGGCCCCGTCTGGGCCCCCATGATGGGCCTACTTTGCATGATTACACCCGCATGCCCCGAACAAACAAAATGAAAATCACTCGCCCTCCCCCCATTTTATAGGCTTCCCCACTTCCGGTGCATGCAAATTGATCCCTAACAAAGAGGCCGAGTGAGATTTTAACAAACACCTATTTTTAATGTCGAAAATAGCTGATTTTGAAAAATCTGATAGGTGTGCAGTCGTGTCATGAGCATTACGCGCCTAATGACGTATCATACGTACCCCTAACTACTTCCTTTCTTGAGATACCACTGGAACATACGGACGGAAGTTGCATGCAAATGCACACACACACACAAACACTATTTTTTTTATATATAGTAGGATACAAAATGTCGATTTTTCGGCCAAAGTATCAGAAGAGTCTAAATTTTTACATAATTTTTGTCAATATCAACGCTCACTATTACGTTACCGGGTATTTTTGTGCTTAAACAAGAAGATAAGGCTTTTGAAAAAATTATAGTGATTTTTTAAGGCATAGAAAGCCCAAAATTTACTTTTTGAAAGTTATTCTACTTTAAATATAACTAAAGAATGTATAAAAACAATATTCTAAAATCCAGAAAGTCCCTAAAGTTATTTCAATTGTTAAAGAACCGCAAATTCCCGGTTTTCAGAACAACCGAAATGTGCCGGACGGGTCTGTTGCACTGCTCTCGCTACTATAATCCACTTCTCTTCAATTGAGCTTAATCCTCGGATCATTATTGATATCAATAATATAATAATAAAGATGATTTATCTCATGAGAGCAGGGGCAAAGCAATGACCCGTAGTCGTTGTTCGCGGAATGCGCGACACTCCTCAACGAGAGACACCACGTTCAGGTCCGACATTAGTCGCATACGGCGGTCGAGTTTTCTGCAATGGATTAGACTCACGTAAAAAATTAACGATTTAAAAAAATCACTTATTTAGATAATTTCTTATTAAACTTTAGAATGTTTAAAGGTATCATTATTGCATCCCGGATCTTTGGCAATATCGGAGGCGCGGGGTTCCTATAAGTCCAGAAATACCTAGCAACATATCTTAACAGTTTTTGGTAAAATTCAACCTAATTTAAAGTGGGTCAAACCATAAAAAAACTTAGAAACACGAAAAACCCTTTCTAATAGGAAATTCTGATAGAAAAATCGGTTTTTATTTTTTTTGCGCTGAGCTTCCGCTTTCCTAGATCGTAATGCGTTACTCAATGGAACCGCGGATGCGCGCGTCCCCTTAATTGACCATTTTGACCCACTTGAACTCGTCGTGTTGCAGCATTCGCTCCGGATTTGACAGTTCCTCCACCCGAGCATCACACGACAGTTCTAAAATCAGTTGAAAACACAGTAAAAATACTTAAATAGCTCTATGGTGCTTATTAATTGTTGGTAAAATTTTAGTCACCTGATAACGTCATCGATTTCATGACGGGCAGATTAAAAACCATCGACAAGAATAAGAGATCCAGAATTAGCGACGTGGCAAGCTCCTTTTTCTGAAAAGCCATAGATTTCCAGAAGAAACTCTGCTAGCCTGCGGTTTTTTTATTTCCGTATGACTCACCAAATTCAGCTCGCCGCACAAATAACGCTCACAGGCGCGCTTCAACACAGGCAACTCGTTCAGCTCGGCATCAATGAGAAAATCAACAAAATCCTGAAAAATCAGTGCATGTTACCCTCCAAAAACGCACCTCAACAAATTCCATATGCGGGAGAACTATTTTGTTGAAATACATATTGGCGAGCAGCTAGAAAATCGGTCATTTTCTAGGCGATGCCCCGGACTACCGTACATCATGGACGTGCTCTTGGTTCTGCTCTTTGCACTCGAATCCCGGCGGTTCGTCATCTTCGTCGTCGGCGTCGTCTAGGGTTGTGATACGTACACGGATTGTCTTTTTCGAGTACCCTGCTCCGGGTCGGTAGCCTCAGGGTTGGAAATGGCAGCCGAATCACGACGTTGACGGCATGAGTCACAGCAGGCGATTAGGAGCTGAAAGGTGTATCGTGGAAGCTTAAATATTTTCCTAAAGAAACGCTGCTGGTTTGCCAAGCTAACATTTTTTCAGCAAACGGACGCGATTAAAGGCTGAAAGGCGCGCTGTGAAAAATTGTATTTGTTTTATATGAAATGTTGTATTATACAGGACTCCCCTACCAACCTTCTTGAAGATGTGCTCGTGCTCGGGCTCATGTCCCCACGACTGATCCGGGTTGGTGGCGTTTGACGAGCGACGCAGGCTGATGATCGATTTGCGATGGTCAGCCTCAAAAAAACATTTAGAACGCAACAATTGCACCACACACCTTCTCTGGATCCCTGGTGAGCGTCATCTGGTGCTCGGCGTCATTTTCTTCCATCACTCGCCGGAATCGCTCTTCGTAGTCAATCTTTTCGTGGCGCGGGATACGGATTCGAGGCGCCTTTTCATCACTAAAATATTCATCCAAAATCCGGAGCAAGCGAGACATACCGTTTCTGGCGCTTCCTCCAAATCTTGCTGTTCACGCGCGCCTTGTAGTTTGTGGTTAGGAAAGATTTCTAAGATGAGTCGTTTTCGCTGATTTTTAGAAATAAACCTGTGGTGTCGGCGTCATCGCGTCGAGGTAATAAAACGGGTCAAAAAGTTTAGCGTCCATCTGGAGCGTAAGGGAAACTTTTAGGGAGTTTCCAACGTTTTCCTAAGTACGTTTTCGATATTGCATAGATATTACTTGTAGGAATTCGGAAATATGGAGGCGATCCGAGTCGGTCATCTCTTGTGAACAGCCGCGCGTCACATGCACGACTTTGCCTAAAAGAGAGATTTTATAACAATAAGCTCAGACTGACTTTCTTCTACAGAATTCCCGTCTCTGCCATCACGGAACGCAATTTGAAATCCGGACTGGATACAAATCTAGAAAAACACATGTGCTTGTCAAAGCCGAAAGGGCGAACCTGACTGACGGGCCCGTCAACGTAGTACAACTCGACGGCTACATAATTTGCCGGATCCGGCACGTTATCGGCCGAATACTCCGAATCGAGCTCGTCTTCCGAACACAACTAAAGAAACAATAAGTTTTCTTTTAATAAAAGCCTCACCCCTCCGGTAGTTCCATGTATCTTCAAGCTCCACACGAACGACACGTGATCGTGGACAGTGGCAAATTTCGGCGATACGTGCAAGATCACCGAATCATCAGCAGAGATCGTACGGAGAGATACCTAAAAACGTGACAGCCAAAAGGGTTACATACCTTTAATGGCCAAACATAATTGAAGGTGATGTATTGGGAATTGGCGGCCGATGGGGACGGTGGTTCCCCCGTTTCGCCCATTTCCTAAATTGACAAATTAAAAAGCAAACTAAATAAAATACAAGGAAACTGGAAAACATGATCACAATGGGGAGATGAGGTAACCGGAAGGGATGGTGCCGGATGAAAACAGAATCCTGCAGCGGAAATTAAAGCCATTCTGTGCGGGCAATAACAAAAAGAGGCCCGCCGGGAGAGATTTTTCCGGGGCATCCCGCAGCACAAATTATGCGCCGATTGGAACTGGATTTTCATTGGCTTCGTGGTTTAGGAAGCACATAAAAGCTTCGGCACTGAACTATTAGCAGGGGGGGGGATTGTTGGCAAGCGGAGAAACTAATTTAGCCCAATAACCCTGTACGGTTCCAAAAGAAAATATACACCATTTCATAGCCTAGATATAAAAAGTTCATAAAAAACTTATAAAAATTTCGATTTTTTTTGGTCAAAAATATATGAAAGGTAAGAATTTTCACATTTTGAAATCTTTCCAAATATTTTTTGTGACGTTCTAGCGATCAAAAACTACTAAAACATCCTAAAATGACACTATTCATTATCAACAGGTAAAACAGAATAGCTGGAAAAAAAACTTAGTCCCCCCCCCCGCTAACAGTCCAGTACCAAAGCTTCAATCCTCCGAAAAACGATAATAAAATGCAGCTAGCCAACCTGTGAAGCTATTCAGAAACAGTGACCGAAAGGCCAAAAACCCGCAGCCATTAGTCTGGCCTCCCCATGGGTGATGACGCTAGACCCAATAAACAAATTGCTTTGGTCTGGGACGGAGTGTGTATGTTCTTCTGATCAGCCACCATTGCCGCCAAGGCAAATAGAGGGCCCAACGAAACAGGGCAACTTTAGAAAACAGCCGGCCGTCGTTGAAATTCTAAAACTCTATATGAATATGTCGCAAGCGCGATCCCAACAAAAAGAGCGAAAGTTCAAAAGGTCGCTAACAAGTGCGACAGTCAGCCCCGGCGGAGTATTGTCCGGCTTCCTGGGCGGGCGCCATTTTACCGGTTGTCAAAATGGCGGCTGGTGATGATGGTCGACCGGGGCGACAAACAGCTCCGATCATAAACTGTGTGAAAGCGTCGCGAGACGTGATGGGGCAGTTAAAGGGCGGCGTCCTCGAAAAAACACTCGCGAGTTGAGGGCAAACAGTTCGACCCCCTTCCCTCGTAAGCCTAGGTAGACATGGCGGCGTTGTGGGCCGTTAGGGCTGATTTTGGATCGGGGAAAACAAAAAGGAGGGTGGAGAATCGATGGAGGACGGCCGACGGCGGGAGCAACCGATGCAAATCGCAGGTCGGCAGGGCTAAGCAGATTATCGACACCACGCCATTCCAGGCTTTAACAGGCAGGCACGGATAGCTTTTGGGCTACGACAGGCTCCCTTGCACAAGGGGACAGCGCTCTCGCTACGTTTTTGTTCGAAAATGAACAAAATTTTGGACAAAACTGGATTTTTCTCGAAATGTAATAGAAAAATTAGAAACTCAATTAGATTTAAATATTCTAGACGCCAAGGCGCAGATTTTGAGACCTAACTATCGAAAATCTATTCTGGTACTTTTTTGTGATGGTCTTTTGAAGTTCAGTTCAGGATTTTGTGCGGTTTTAAATAGCGCAGAAACCAAACATTGTCGCTGAAATCTGAGCCTAGATTTGGTAAAATCGAGGTCGATTACCCCCTAGTGCGTAAATCGACGCTTAAAATGGCTCCAAGTGACTGTTTTGCGAAAACGTACGCCAGTGGATCAACCGTCTCTTTTTGATCGGGTTAATTTTTTGCAGATCCTCTTTGTTTTAGCAGTTTTCAATGGCTGGAGCACAGTTTTTAAGCAAAACGCAAAAGCTTGGCAAAGGTTTTGGGGAGAAATAGCGGTTGCACGTTGGTCCCGGGGGTCGAACCCGGACCCTCTGTTCGAGATTTGGGATCGGCGCTAACCGATTGCGCCGCGGCCCCGGGGGGTCCTATCCGTGCCTCCGTGGAATGCCGTGACACTTCATACGGGCCACGTCGGATGGGGTGGGCGGCAGAAAAGTGTCATACGCGACGCTGGGCATCGTGAACAGGTAGAACCCGGAAAATTATTAGTCAATGAGGCCATCGAAGGATCGATGAATCTTCTCAGCACCATACCATACTTCAGCTCGTAAGAAATCTTGGTACTCGACTGTTAGCGGGGGGGGGGGGTGGTTAGCCGGGCGGAAACTGATTTTTTTTCCGCCTATACCCGTTGATAATAAATAGCGTATTTTTCTATTGTTTTTCGTAGCTTTTGCTTGCTAGAAAGTTACACACACATAGGTCAAGCATTTTTGAAAATTCGATGATTTTAACCAAAAAATTGAAATTTTTCTAGGCTTTTTACCTAAAGACCTAAAAATTTATATATTTTAAAATATATATAAAAAAATAGTGTCTGTGTGTGTGTGTGTGTGTGTGCCACTTTGCATCCACTTCCGTCTGTCTGTCCAGAGGATATCTCAAGAACGGACGGGTATTAGGCTACGTTCGATACGTCATTAGGTGCGTAATGGTCTAGGGATGACTGCACACATATCAGATTTTGAAAAATTAGCCATTTTCGCTATTAAATTTAGGTTTTTGTAAAAAGCTCTTTGTTAGGCATAATTAGCATAGACCGGAAGTGGGCGGTCGTCTATATAAAGAGGCAGACGGGGTTGTTTTTCATTTTTTCGCCTTCTGAATGAAGGACAATTATGCAAAGGGCGGAATAGCATGGGGTCCAAGACGGGTCAAGGGTTGAAAAGTCGCGAAGCGGCTTTTCAACCCTGGTATATTTTAAAATTACCTAAAAATCAAATTTAAATAATGATCAAGAATTTCCCCAGGAATCCCCCAAAATTTTAATAGCAAAAAAAGTATAAAGGCCAAAATCTCCACTTCCGCCAATATTTCGTACTTGTCTTCTAAGGGGCGATGCTACTCGTTCTACTAGCTGCTGGCCTACTCGCTGCTACCGTCTATTTCTACACCTTGTACAAGCAAACGGTAGACGAAATCGGGAAAATGCATATTTAACCCCGCGCACAGGCTGATGCCCTCAACCAGTTGAAGGAGGAGAAGAAGAAGGAGGTCCGCCGTGTGCCCTCCAATGTCTCCTTCAAAAGCCAGAAGCCGACAACTCCACAGGTAGTGCAGACTTTTCATTCATTCTGAAATGAATGTTCTAGAAAAGCCTTCCACGTTCCGCCTCGAAGACTTCGGCCAGTGGTGTGGCTACGGCAAAGAGCAATTCCGGCCGTACCATCTCGGCCACCACCGCCATTTCTGCAAAAAGCGTACGAGAGTTGTGTAGGTTTTGAGCGGAATATTGTTAGCATCACGTCGTCATCAACCCCACACCGATCACGGCTGATATCGAGCAGAACGGGATGATTGGAGCCCCGATAAATCAAGATCACGAGCCAGCCGTCAATTCCGAGCACGAGGCATCGTTCAAAGGGTCTCCAGATTATCATTCGATTTCAGCCAATGATGCGACCGCATCCTCATCTGACTCCAGCCGCTGCACCCACTGGTGCGTTGAGCTGCTAGCGATTCGACTGGAATAATACTTTGTTCTATTCTTGATCATGGTTCTTTTTAGCAAAGGACGAGGGTTCGGCCCAATCAGCCTCTTGCCATACCGCCGATGTGCAACCGGATGAGCGCGCGAAGACGGAAGCAGCTCTGGCCGCTCCAGCCGCCGCGGCTGCCGACCACTCGCAGTTCGATACTGCGGCTCCCGCCGCTGCCAAGCGAAAGTGAAGAGAAAAAGAGTGGGTTTAGTAAATCGGCAGCACAAACGATCCTTTGGTCCTGTAGGCAATGATTTAGGCAGCGACTCCTCATCGTCGAGCAAGACCAAGAAGAAACGCGTGAAGGAAGGCCCCCGCAAGATCAAGCCTGGATCGGTGAAGTTGGTCTTGAACCCTTGGCGTTGACCGTGAAAAAGAGACACCGCGATCAGATCAATTTCAGGTCGAAAAGCAACAAGAAGAGCAAGAAGAGTAAGGACAGCAAGTCTGGAGCGGAGAAGAAGGATGGCTCCGACAAGACTGGAAGCAGCGCCACCCCCAAGCAATGAGACATCTCGTCTCAACTGTGACAATAAATATTGGCTCAGACTCGCGATCCTTACATTTCCGACTAAACTTGATTGCGAGCTAGCGAACGTTACACGATAGTTGACAACTTCTTCGGACGAAGCCTCAGCGTCGAGGAGGACGATCTTCATACAGCGAGCCGCCGGCCCTACAGTGTTCGCAAAATTCGCCGCAAGCATAGAAAATTTATTCACGCACAAGAGACACGTTAAAGGTTCACTTAAATCGGTAACTAAACATTGCTGCGAGAAACGGGCAGTAAATTGGAAAATTGACAACATTACGATAAAGCCAAATGCAAAATTATAAAAGTGCACACGAGAAAGGTGATCGGGGTCGGATGCAGCCCACGAAGAATGCTAGACGTTGCGATTATCCTCGACACCGGCTAAGATAATATTAGCAAAAGAAACTGCACAAAGTTACCGTGGTGGTTTACAACGAAGACATTCAGTATGGCAGTCATTTCGCGGCCCTCCCATCGATAACTTATCGTCTGGTCTCGTCCAGCCTCCCAATATGTAACTGCCGAAACAGCAAGCCCAGAATCGCCGCCGCTCAGACGAAACATGGCCGACGTGATGATGTACTTGTAACTTGGATTCTTTTCGACCAGGATGGCGGTAACATCTAAATCACAGCGTGATCCCAAAAATCATCTTTACCTTCAACGCACTTCTTGTTGATCTGAGTAGATTCTTCAAAAGAGTAGGGCTTTGTGGCGGCGGCACGGTGGTAGACGTCTTGGATTACGGCGACGATTTCTTCTCTTGTCGGCATTTTCGAAGCAGTCGCGGAGCCGTCCCCGTTATGCATGGCACTTCTTCTGAAAAAATTAGATTGTAAAACGCTCGATAAAATGTGGCAACAAAAAAAACATCCAGTCGAATTATAAGGACTGGAATTCAAAGCCATTAAAGAGATGAGGACGGCATCTGTTGAACCCCCCTTGGGGAGGGGGGTTCAACAGGTCCCGCGGCGATCTCGCGCGAGAGAGGGCTCCCAGGGGAGAGGCGCAGAGACATTTTCTTTCCCTCGCGTAATCGATTGACTTATGCCGCCCCTATCTCTTTAAAAAGGAAAAGTAAAGAACCTCGGAAAAGCGAAATTAGTCTCGCCACGCTTGATTGAAATTCCACTTGGTCCACCAAATAGAATGGCAGGAATACGGTAGAAAATGCTACGCGACAGGTCAAATTACGGATCAAAACGACAAACTACAGATGCCTTCACGAGAATTTCTTCTTTCGGTTTTCATTTTTCCGTTGTTGCGATACTTTGCGTCATTGGTTCACTTTGGATTTTCCCTATCATGTTTTTGAAAATGTCCTTCCTAATTCTGAAATTGCAGATTGTGTGACAATGGGCATGAGCAAGAAGTGCACTGCTGTTGATTCGCTCTCCGATGCTTCTTCTACATCTTCTCGTGGTGCGTCGATTTATCTATTCATGTAGTCTCTTATTTCTAGGCAGCAAAGTCGCCGACGGTCCCAGCAAGAAGCCGGCAACGATTGAAATGAGTGAAGAGTGCAGAGGTGGTGAAGAGTATTCGGATCGCCGTCTCTTCATTTCAAACTTCCCGTTCTCGTGGCATGAGGATGATCTTCGCGCCTTCCTTGAGGAGTACGTTTCTTTTCTTGACATGGATTACATTTTTTTTAGTTATGGTCCGGTGATGGAAGTCAACATTGTCTACAATGAGCGCGGCAGCAAAGGATTTGGCTTCGCTACCATCGACGACCCTGATCGCTGCTACCGTGCCCGCATGGAGCTAAACCACACTGTTGTGCAAGGACGCCGGGTTGAAGTTCGTAAGGCTCACAAGCAGAAACGGCGTCCAATGCAGCCCCCTACGAGCAACCTCTTCAACATGCGTCTTTTCCAGTCCATGCAGAGTAAGGATTTCATCTGCGTCGTTTACGATTCTCTAGGTCTTGCGAAGAACCCACTTCTTCCCCAGCTGCAGTTGCTAAATCTGCTTTCCAATCCAGATGTGCTTGAACGTCTGCAAGGCGCCGCCGCTCAAAACAACATTGGTTACCAAGCCCCTTATTCCCCGGCCAATGCCGCTTCGTGCTTCAACTTGAACAAGCTCGCCAACACTGGCCTCCAGCAGGATTGTGCCGATAATCGTGGTCATGGATCCACTTTCTTCCCCGCTGCCAATGTGGCTCACAAAGAGGTGAATCCGATTGTTTAAATTATTCAGGTGCTTAGGGAAACGGATTCATGGATGCGCGCGCGTATTTGGCACGCGAGAGCTGCGCTTCTCCTTTGACGCCGCCTCCTAGCGGCTCGGTCTACGGCAATCTCTTCGCAAATCCTTTCAACAACGCCATGGGAAGTGCCGACAATTTTCCGGTAATTTTCCGCGCCATTTTTTAGCAAAAAAGGTTTGTAGGATCAACCGCTGCAGCCCGGCTACCTGCAAAACTATGGTCGTCCGGAACAGGATCTGAGGAAGATTTGGTGCGACCCATCGGCCGCCACCTTCAGGCCTCTTGATGGTTTCGATCGGTCGTATTCGGTTTAGCATCTATAAAGGATATCTAGTGTGATTTAGATGGGCGATCTCGGCAAGCACTTCTCATCCCTCTGAAGCACAGCTACTCGATGCATCAAATAAAACTATGTATATTGCGCATGTTGACTATTTTGTCTAACCCGTTGGCCTACCTGCACTTGGTGCCTTATTATTTTCCTGTCTTTGCACCTTCGTGTTTGACACGATTCGATGGTTGTTTGCTTTTGTGAGTGCAATACATATTCGTCTGATTTTTTGTTACGAAGCGGTGATAGTTACACAGGATTATACAGATACATAAGCTGCCGATACACATTTCGGATGAATTTGGTCGCTCTTTGTGCTTTGGCGAGGGCAATTTGGGGGGCGCGAAAGGAAGGCCTTTGAATGAGAAACGCGGGGAAGTTCTTTCTCCTTTCTTGAGATTGTATCTGTACTTTCCCTCATCATGGTACTTGAGACGATCGAGATGCCTTGGCAGTCCGAGTTTGACAACGACGATTACGACAAGGAAAATATGGAGCCGGAAGAGGTAAATTTGCTAAGGAAAAACAAGATATCTTTTTTTTCTAGCCGAAGCAACTAGCCAAGGAAAACGAGGAGCTGAGGAGACGGCTCTGCAAATATGAAAAGCTACATGGCGATATTGACGAGGAGATTTACTATGTGCGTTAAATTTTTTAATTATCATTGTGAATGCCTGCTGACGATTGCCAATTTTAGGAAAGCAACCCTGAAGAGAGCCAGTACCTCGACCAAATCCGCCGCATCATTGCATCGCGAGGACTACGCACCGATCGAACGGGGACCGGCACAATATCGTTGTTTGGAATGCAGAGCCGTTATAGTCTGCGGGATGGTCAGTTTCCCCCATGATGTTGCTAGAGATTTTTCCTTAGGCCGGATTCCGTTGCTGACTACAAAAAGGGTATTCTGGCGGGGCATTGCGGAGGAATTGCTGTGGTTCGTCTCTGGATGCACGGATGCCAACGTGCTGAAGGCCAAGTGCGTTTGTTGTTTAAAAAAAATTTTCTGCAGAAAAATCCACTTTTGGGATGATAACGGTAGCCGTGCGTTCCTCGACAATTTGGGGTTGCATGATCGAGCTGAGGGTGATCTGGGCCCTGTTTATGGATTCCAGGTACGTTTTATCTCCAGAAATCCACTATTGAAAACTGCTTCAGTGGCGTCACTTTGGAGCTGAGTATCAAGATTGTCGAACGGATTATTCCGGTCGGGGCGTCGACCAGCTAGCCGAGGTGATTCGGCAGATCCGAGAAACACCGGACAGCCGACGGATTATTATGAGCGCCTGGAACCCGAAAGGTGCGATCTTGAAAAATATCAATAATTTGTTTTCAGATCTGCACCTCATGGCTCTTCCCCCCTGCCACACAATGTGCCAGTTCTACGTGCAAAATGGCGAGTTGAGCTGCCAGCTTTATCAGCGCAGCGGGGATATGGTATTTCTCGGATTTGATGCATCCTTGTTTTAGGGCCTGGGAGTACCGTTCAACATTGCCAGTTACTCTCTGCTGACGCACATGATCGCACATGTTTGCGGCCTGAAGGTAATTGTTATCTCTGGCTAAAATATACGACTTCCAGGCAGGAGATTTTGTCCATACGCTGGGCGATGCTCACGTTTACTCGAATCACGTCGAAGCTCTACAGGAACAGGTATTCACGCCGATTTTCAAAATATTGTTAAATTTTTCAGCTGCGCCGCGTACCAACGGCTTTCCCGCGCATCTCTTTCGCCGAGGGCATCAAGTCTATTGACGATTTTACCATGGAAAAGGTACGCTTTCTACTAGTATAATAATTTTTGTATGTTCACAGATCCATCTACACAACTACAACCCACAGGGTACAATTGCCATGAAGATGGCGGTTTGAGAAAGCCGCCAAACACCCTCTTCCATCTGTACAATCCACATTTTTCTTTCAGTCACCCAACTCGTACAAACTGCCGAGTTTCATTTTTTTAAATTGTCATGTTGTAAATAAATTATTTAATGCAATCACGGTTTTCAGGGTTTTCAAGCTATATCACATCACGAAACTCTTTTATTACCTAAAAATTTTTTAGTAAAAACGACCCTTGATGAATAGAGTGCGCTTTTTCAGCAACCCATGCTAGTGCGAATGCAACACAGCAAGGGATGGGTTGTCGTGTGTGTAAGGGCCGGGGGAGAAGAGCTTTTCCGTTGCATGTGAGGAATGGACACAGTGAAGGGTGGTTGGTGGTGGTCACCGGGTTGGGTGAGGAGCCGGAGTGAGTGAGGAGGAGTGTGTGGCATGGAGTGAGGCGATGCCCTCCGGGGTCTTTTCGCCCCAATCACCCGTTGCCGGCCATCCATCGCCGATATCGATCGATCGGGTCACATCGATGGTGCCGGGGGGATGCGCGAGGGTTGCATGGCATGTTGTTAGCCGCCTAGGCATCATGTCTTATGATTTATTTAGCACAATGGAATTTTTTACTGATTGTGCGCTTCCGGACGCTCTTTTGCTTTGATAAAATCAGCAAAAGCTTTAGTAGAAAACTATTAAACAATTAAAAGACAAGTCCATATAAGTTCTTCATATGATGAAGTTCGAAAAATTTTATGTGATTTTTGTATCTAAAAACAAAGCTGTGTAAAATACTATGAAAATGGTTTATACTTTATACTATAGAACCATATGAATTACTGGGGGAAAAAATTGGTTTCCCTCATTAACTGAAGCGCCAAGATTTTCATCCTCGTTTTTAGAGCTTTCCTTTAAAACCGGCCAATCGTCGCTAGGACAAATTTTTTAGATAATACTGGCACAAATTGACACGAGCTTATATAACAACGTGTAGCCCAGTTTTGCGAACGTTTCCCGAAGCGTAGATGCTTTTTCCTGTCCTATTTGGCTTCATTGGCCAGTCGCCGATTGATGGCCGACCGGGCTCATCGTCAATCGAGCAAGCAATGCACTCCTCTGATGTGAGTGTGTTGTGTGCAGGCCATCGAAAGATTCGCATCGCGATAAAGCCCCGCGGGGCTTTTCGGTCGTGATCTGGCTGGCAGTCAGTGGGCGACTCGGGTTGGCAGTCGAGGACACTCCGGGGGTTGTTTATGTCTGCGGTAAGTGGTCTTTCGCACGGATGCGATCCGTAAAAATGGTCAATACATTGAGCCGACGGTATAAAATTTGCTCTTGGGCTTGATATCGGTGTATTTTTTGTAATTATTCCGGGTTATTGCACTTACTTTTGAAAGTTACGTCAAGTACCTTGCGTATTACATTTGGATTTGCCATCAAAAAAGGTTTTATAGTAGTTTCTAAAACGTTTTACGGATATCGCTACGTCAGACTGCTGATCTCAATTTTTAGAGCATATCGGTTATTAAATTTCGATTTTCCTCATAGAATGAAGTTTTTAGACTAGATTTTTATGCTGTTCCCAAGATAACAGATTGTAACCGCTGCTTTCGATTAAAAAAAACAAGTTTTTTGGCCGAGAATACGTTTTTTCGGAACGTCACTTTTTTGTTGTTTGAAAAAAACTTTTCTGGAATCGTCACGTTTCAAGCCTACGTTTTTTAATGTCTAGCTTATTTCGAAAATTTATACATTTTCAGGCGTGTTCTTTGGCATTTTCAGTTTTGTGTCTTTTATGTTTTGCAATTAAGTCCAGTTTTACAGTTTACAACACAGTTTTTATCCGTATTTTTCCTTCAAAACGCCAATTGTGGAGTCCTAATTTAGCTGTCGGTGTTCAATAGTATAATTCGTAGGAATCCACGGATTACGTTTAGGTTTATTGTTAGATATATAGATATTGGATATCGAAGAGAGAGAGAGATATATATGGTAATTCGCTTGTACGACAAATCGCTAAACAACGCAAGGGGAGCCTAAGCGGGAAGGGCTGGCCGTTGCGTTTTAGCGGGTTGTCGAGGTTTGGTGAAGGGGGCCGGACCTCCCCGTTTCCACCCTTAAATACCCTTTTTATTGCTCCGCCCTCTCATGCTCCCTTTGGGTCGAGCTGGTCTCGACACTCCGGGGGGCCGCGCAAGAGGAAGTAGCGTTAAAAAGTAATACCAAAGGGTGCGAAATGGGCTAATGGGTCAGATCGGAAAGAGAATAGAGATTACAATTTGAAAGAAATTGCGGTTCTGAGGACTAGCGGGTAGTTTAAGGGTTATGTGGATATCATGAGAAGGTTAAGTTTGTTAAAACGAGTGGTAGGAAATAGACGGGGAGGTCTAGATAAAAACTGTGTTAGGAATAACAGGTTTTTCGTAGTAGAAGAGAAGGGTTTGTTAAGAACAACGGTACGAGAAAATTGTGGGTGTAAATCGTGGACTAGTTAAGTCGAAATGTGAAAGTTAGATAACAGCAAAAAAAATTTTCAAGTGGGTGGAGTTAGAAAGGCAGATAAAGGCTTGGGCGGGTGATGCGATTGGACCTTCGGGAAGAAGTTGAACTGGGCGAAGAGAACAAAGTTGGTGGCAGCATTGGAAGAGCAAATGGTGGGCGTACGCGGCAAATGTCGGTTGTGTGGCTGAGCGTTGAATCTAGGCTTAAATCGTGACGGATTGGACTAGAGTCCGAGTGAGTTTGAACTGAGCATGAGTGATGCGCTCAGAATGATCGTGAAGTCCAGAACTAGGCTGGTTTCACGAGTAAAAATTAAATGAAATTGAATTACTTGGCTACCGGTTGAGCGGGCAACGGGTTGCTTGAAATCTGCGTGATAATGATTTCAGCTGATTGATCTGAATGATTGGTCAGTGATCCGAAGGAATCCGTTTGATGTCGGATAACGAATTAAACACTAGATTTTGCTGAGTTCCTTTGAAACTGATTTAATGCCACTGATATCTGACACTGTCAGATGACTGACATCAAGCATGAGCGTACCGGTAGGAACAAATAATAAATTGAATAGATTGATACTAAAATCGGTTGGGGCCGATAATAATGAATGACTTGGCTCCGGAAATTTAAAGAAGGAGTTCAAGTTTCATAAGATGCAATTCCTAATATGGGTTAATGGTATTGGGCTAAATTTAGAAATCGGGTTAGATAAAGATGCTTAATTTAAAAAAAAAATTGTAGATGCCCGCCTGCCAAGCGTGGATCGTGTCGGGAAAATGAATTTTGGGATTGGGCTCTGGGTTCTGATCAGTGGGCGGGGCTGATTGCTGGAGGGCACGGGCCGCTCGTGCTCACGGCTGCTTGGCGCTCGCCCAGGTCTAGCTAGGTGTGGGCTGCCTTGGCTGGCAGGGGGCGCTTGCCTAGAGGATGCCGCTAGGGAATAAATTATGGCCCAGCAACTGCCGGCTTGCCGGCTGCAAGCTGGCCAGTTTGGTTGTGGGCCCAATCGGGTGGGAAAGGAAAATATGGGCTTTCGTGGAGGGGATCGAAAAATATTATCGCAGTTATGCTGGTGAGTAGAATGCCAGAACTAAGATGCAATTACTAACATATAGGGGAGAGTTGTTGATGCTCCTTACGTCAGTGTTCTGGCGCCGTGTCATCTTCCGATTCTTCTTCTGTGACTGAGGACCAGTCCTCATCCGATTCCGGTTCAAAGCATGCGTCGGAATCTTCATCGCCGTTGCCATGGGTGGTGGCTTCGGTCTTATTCTTGTTATTTAGAATGCGGCCTGGAGTGGTTCCTCGATCTCGGCTTGTAGACCTTCGAAGTGGCGATTTGCTTTTGCGGATTTTCGAAGCAATTTTAGGATCGAGAGGGCAGATAGATGGATGATGTCGAGTTGATCCGCAGCGACAGGGTCGTTTTCGGCATTGATGTGGATTCTTCCGTGTACATATGAAGCACCGATCCTGTTGTCTAAGCAGGTTTCTTCGCATTTCGTTATCTGTGGTTTTCTCACAAAACAGGCTGAAATGGTCAGTGGCCTTGCAGTACACGCAAAATTTGGGCCGTTCTTGATTTCCGTTTCTTGCTGTGTTGTTTTGTGCAAACGGGCGGGAGCGGAAGCGGTCCCTCGTCTTGGAGCGGTTCGAGTCGAAACTATTATTAAGCGCTAATGTCGTTTCTTCCTCTCGACTATGCTTTTCGGATACGAGTAGCAGGTGCTCTGCTTTCTCGATGCTGGTGCGGAGCGCTTCTAGGAATTGTGCTGTGTCCCAGTGGTCGTTTCCGTGTTCGGCTAGGTATATTTTCTTCTGGATATTAGTGGGGAATTTCTTCGTTATGCGATCCCTTGTCATTGGATCTATTTCCACCTCGCGTTGGCGGATTTCTTCTACTGTAGCGCGAATGCGGTCGTACGTTGCGCCCGCTTCCGAAGTGGTTTTAGCGGCTGGGATGATTTCCAATCTTTTAAACAGCGTTCGAACAAGTAGTTCCGGGTTGCCGAAGCGCTGATTCAAAAGATCTAATGCAATTTGATAGTTCTCGGGTGTCAGTCGGAGTGGGCCAACGATGTTTTGAGCTCTACCTTTGCAGCTAGTTTTAAGGTATGAGAACTTATCTAGGGCATTCAATTGTGCGTTGTCTCCAATGATGCGTTGGAATGTGGCGAGCCACGCTGTGTATTCGATCGGGTCTCCGTCGAATTCTGGAAGTTGAATTTCGGGTAGTCGAGGGGCGTTGGGAAGAGCTAGGCCTGGAGGGAAGATTACAGGTTGAGCGATTGCCGGCTCTTCGTGAGGTCTCTCATTTCTAGGATTATGGTCGACCGGTGGCGGGCGGATATACTTGTCGTATGTATAAACCAGGGCTTCTAGGCTCTGATAAGCGTGGGTTAGCCAATGTATGATCCGTCGGCCTTCAGTCAGGATGTTTTGGTTTTCTTGCGTTTCTAGACGTTCCAACACGTTGACGAATCGCTCCTCGTCGGGATCTTCGTCGAGTCTGCTGATGCGGTTGATCTGCTCGTCTA